GGTGAAGTAGACTTGCAGCCACTTAGCCTTCGCGACCTTCGCGAAGGTATGGAGTCAAAGCCCGATTAGTATATATATATATATATATATATATGAGTGCTTGCTTCGCCAAAGCTTCTGCGTTAAACAGGATGTTGAGGCTCTAGCTCCTTCTTGGAGGCGGTCTGGGACTTGCTGGTTGTGCATAAGTAGGGCCGCATGGATCATCTTATCATCTTCAGAAGTCGTGTTACGAAGTCTGGTGATAAGTGTCTTATTGATCGTTCTAGATCTATTTAGGCCAGCGAACATACGTCTCGTCATGGATTCAACTGAACCAATATACGATTGTAGTTCTTATTCTTGATATCGATGATCAACTTGTCTATGGGTTGATCTTCTCGGAGACTTGTGAGGGGAACGTTGATAGTTTCGCGTAGCTCTTGTATAGTCCCTCGATGTCCTTCTAGATGATGATGATCTGGATTCAGGTGTCCTTCGCGCATGCCTTCGCGAAGCTTCCTCTGCGTCCGGTCCGGGGGAACGACGATATGACCTTCGCGAAGGCTTCCGTGATGTCTGATGGTCCGAGTTCACATCTAGGGATGAAACCGAAGAAGGTGATGATCTATCCTGCCTTCGCGAAGGCTGTACATCTAGGTCCTTTCCGCCTTCGCGAAGTCCTTCGCGAAGGCTGTACATCTAGGTCCTTCGTCAAGGTGGTCCGTGACTTCCTTCGCGAAGGTGACATCGTCCTGGCTGCTACGTTGACAGGGGGTGCCTCTGGGGTGCCTCTGGGGTGCTGTCTACGTTGGAGCCTTCGCGAAGGCTCGGTCCCTGCTTTTGCAGTCTGTAGCGGTCCTCCATCATGGTCATAATTTGCCGCATCAGGTCCTCAGGGATGGTCTGCGACGAGGTCGTCGGTGCCTTATCTGCGGTGTTAATGGAGGGGTCCACAGGAAAATCGTCCGACATCAGTGTAGAGGCATCAGGCTGCATGGTGATCTCTGCTGATGTCGTTGTAGCTGTCACCGGTCGTTTCTTGTGGCGTACGTCGGGGATGATGATCAGCTGATCATCGTAGAGGTCCAGGTCATCGGCTGGAACAATCTCGGTTGAGAAAGTCCTAGTAGACTTCGTTGATTTCCCCTCAGAGGTCGACGCTGCCCTGGGTGTGCGACGTCTGCGTTGAGTGTTGGTAACGATGGGACCCTCAGGACGATCATCGAATATCAGCGTTGGTACATCAGGCTGCATGCTGATCTGTGCCGACATCGGTCATTCTTTTGATGTACATCAGGTATGATGATCGGCTGATCATCATACAGGCCCAAATCTGCGATGGGAACAATCTCGGCTGTTGAGATGTAGTAGAAAACCCTCTAGTCTTCTGCTGCAACGATGGGATGTCTGGGGAAGCAGGATGCTTCTTGGAGATGGCGGACTACGTCCCACGCCTCTCCACCACTCTAGCGGAACACCACACGGGAGGGGAGTCGGCCAACAGCAGTAGACTGGCGAGGGGTTCAGGTGTATCAGTCATACTAGACTCTGCATACGCGACCTATCTGCTGCGCGTCTCAAACGCAAAGTAAATAAATATTAATAAAAAGGTAGAATTGGATAAATTAGTACCGCAACTGCAACGTGAATATAATGAACATGGCGCCGTACAACTAAGTCATATTAAAAGCAGATCAGCAGCAGCATAAAAAACGTAATCTGCAATAGTACAGAATTTTCATCAACGTAATCCACTGAAACAAACACGGCGTCCCGTGAATAAACTGTAGAAAAACGACTAAATATCAATATATAATCGTTGAAGGATACTAGCTAAACCTCTATAGATGTCTATACGAGGTAACCAACTAAATATAATTCAAAGGATATAGTGTGTCGGGAGACACAGGCGCTCTCACGTCCAGCTCACTGGGCGAAGAAGGAGAGAGCGAGGCACGTTCCCGCCGCTTGTGGAAGGGAGGTAACTCGTGGTGAGTACTAATTAGTGATTTTACATTGAAGGGAGCTTCAATTAGGGAGATACAAGTGTTCCACTATGTTCGCAAGAAGAAGAAAACAAGCAAAAAGAGCATGAGTCAGGATAAGGAAAAATTTAGGTCTTTTCTCATGGTCTGCTTCAAAATCATGTTCAGGATATATATTTTTTTCATTAACTGGTGATGTGAAATATGTTGATTTATAAAAACTTTTTAGGCATTTTGCTCAGTTACTTCCCTGATATTTATGGAAAACTGACTGACATTCAGATAACGATTATTTACCTCTATTGATAGCCAGCCCTACTACCTACACGTGATATTGATCTCAAATTGATTAACTTTTCGATATAAGTTATACCTACAGTGAGTTAAAGAAGACTACATGTTTCTTATATTTGTGGCTGAGTGGTTAGATCTCTGACTGTGTATGCTGGCAATTAGATGCCTCACTCTGACAGTCTGGGTTTGAATCCTGCATGGGATTGCACCTCAAAAGAAAAATATTCTGTACTTAAAGTGTAATCTCAAACATGTACCATCTGACCATTTTCTACTGGCATTGTGTGTTCATGCTAAATGTTTCTTGGTGACACAGTCACAGTAATGAGTGATAGCAGACAAACAAGCATAGCAAGCAATATAATAACCTTGAACAGTTACAAACCATGGCATTAGATAACCGATATTGCTTTTCAATAAAAGTAAACAAAAATATCAAGTAAAAAGTGGCAGTGCAGTGGCAGGAATAGACATCAGTTACAAAAATAGAACAGATCAATTCAAGGGAATGTTAACGAAAATATGAACTGGTTTTGAATTGAAAACAAAATTGATTTTCATACCTTCATAACATCAGCAATATCAATGCTGTGCTCAAAAAGTCCAGTTAAGGGCCACCTGCTTCTTTCATGTTACTAATACTTAATCTGTCCTGACATTAGTGAGTTTAATTTTTTGCAGTATTTAGCAATATTTTAGCAATGCCACTGCGGGGGACACCAGAAATGGGCTTCACACATTGTACTATGTGGGGAAATTGAACCGTGGTCTTTGTCATGATGAGCGAACACTAGGCTACCCCACCACCCCAACATGAAAGAATCTGATGGACCTTGCCTTTGTTCTGAGAAGTGTATGTTTGTGAGTGAGTATAGTGTCATACATGATACTAAGAATTATCCCAGTAATGGAATTGTGGTGCAGGGTTTAAGAAAAGTTCATTTTCTGTTTGTCACCCAAATGTTAAATTTGTAAATTTTACAATGAATTGAATGATCATTTAGTTATCCTATCTCACACTATACATGCATAGAGTGAGATAGGACCAGTTTAAAAAAAGGATATTCTTCAAATTTGGAGGAGTTACAGAAGGATGAAAAACTGTCCTAATGCTACTTGTATCAAGTAGAATCTCAAAGGGAAACCTAACTTGGTTTCATATATTTCCCATGTGGATAATACAACCATTGTCATCTATAGAATGAGCAAAGGGCTCTATTCACTGGGCCAATGAACTACCGAATACGTTTGTATTTGCTGACAGGGGTGGTGGTGGGGTAGCCTAGTGGAACGTTCGCTCGTCACACCGAAGACCTGGGTTCGATTCCCGACATGAGCACAATGTGTGAAGCCCATTTCTGGTGTACCCCGCCGAGAGCAACAGCATGATCATCGATCTATGCAATTGAGTGAATGAGTATGGTTTTAGCAATATTCCAGCAATATCACGGCTGGGGACACCAGAAATGGGCTTCACACATTGCATCCATGTGATGAATCGAACCTGGGTCTTCATTGTGACGAGCGGACGCTTTAACCACTAGACTACCCCACTGCCACTCTACTCAACTGAAATACCATGTGGCAGATGGATTTTGTGTCATTCCTGGGTAGTTGATTTTTGACTGAGAGTAAGTCAATTTATTTGTAACAACTGAAGGCCTGATAAGTTCAGCCTGAGGGTTCTCATGGCCCAATGACATTTTAAAGATTTCAGACACTATGGTGTATGTATCAAAAAGAAGTTATCAGTAACAATACTCGTCATGTTTACATCAACCTCTAAATTCCTACAACAAATAAGTGTTGACCTTGACCTGACAATACATAATTAAGATGCCCATTAAAGGGAGACAATCAGGTCAATGGCAAGCATATATCACGGTGCCCATTGCCAAGAACTTTTACATCAATAAAACTAACGGCTGATAAGCTGGGTCTACAATAAATAGTTCAATATGTATGTAGTGTTGTGGCTTGCACAATGCCATCCTCTCTACCTCCACGACTCGCACTGTAGTAAAACTACACTAACCACTGGTTTGATTTCCGTGGTTCTCACAGTCACAAATTTACATACCCTTAGATCAATTCCTGTGTTTATAAAAATATTATGTGCCCCTTGATTTCACTTGCCAGTTTGATTCACTCCCCTAGTGAGTTTAACATACAATCGGAATGCGATTTACAAACCAACCTCATTGATGGCCAATGTAACTGATTATGATTGAGTTTGTGAGAAATTCCATACTAAAAAACTGAGTTACACGCAAAATAGAGGCCTGGGGAAACTTTGATGGAAATGATATTTCCATTAAAAACTGGCATGGCTTTGGTTTCTAGTATGAGTTTTACAACATTCGCATTTGGTGTCTAGTATGAGTTACCTCCCTTACCGCTTCCCTTATGCCATCGCTTGATTGGTTTGTAAAATGTCACTCAACATCAAGGGCAGGTAATCGCAAGAACCAAGGGAATGGATCCAGGGGGTAGTGTAGATTTACCGAAATGAGGGTCCTGGACATTTTGAGGATGCCAAGGTTCCAATATATACAATATAACACATGACCTCAGCCATACAGGCACAATCAGAAAAGCACTTTATGTAATGGGACAACTTTATGTTGTTTTCGTAGAATCTCCAGATCAACTCAACTTTTGATAAAGATTTCTTTAACTCAAAGAAACATCACACTGACTACTAACTCTCTTTGCAAATCTTTGATCAGACAGCATCCCTGCCGTAACATCCCAATCAAAACTTAGCACAGAATGTCTGATCTGAGATCTCATCACTGATGATTCGTTTGTTGAGATTCTTGTAGACCATCTTGTCTTGTCGTTGAGGTGATAACTGCAACACTCTGCTTCAGTAATTGTAATTGATCAAGTCAGTAAGTCACCCTTGAATACCTCTTAAACATACTCCAACATGGACTTGCTGTTACTCATTTCAACAAGTCAAATCACATCAAATTCAGCATTCCACAATGAAAATCCTCATTGATTCTGTGTCCAAGTCTCTTATGTACATCATCATAACATGAAGAACAGTCTGTAGAAGCATAATAAAGAAGGCAAACTAATACAACATTACATATTTCTGAACAGGCACATTTTGATTAAACTTAACACTGAAGGCAGAAGGTGGAAGACAAGTCTATCACATGAACAGAGCATCGTCTGGAAGTCTAGGTCACGGAACTCCCCTGTACAAAGCTCTTAACCATGATCCCCTCACATAGTGGCACATCGTTGGATTCACCTGTACAACCCACATAACCATCTCTTCATCCTCAGAGGTAGTGGCACATAACAAGAGTGGATCATCCTGCATGCTGCATCAATCGTCATTTATACAATCTCTTCTTGCTTTGGGCAACGAAAGTGGCAGGGATATCTTTAGGCAATATGTTGTCCTAGAAGCAGAATGATGGCACAGAGAAGAGTCTAGACTGATGAGAGCTACTTCAGCCATACATTATAAGTTTTCTGTATCAGTCATATGAAGAACACAACTAATGGCATTGTGGACATTAGTAACAGGCTAGCACAGACCTAAGGAGTTTCTTCAGTAATGATGGTCTGTTTTTCATGGGAAGGGGTTCAGGAGTAATGTCTTGTTTCCACCTGAAAAAACCCCAGCCTTGTTTGACTGGAGGCACAGACAAACAATTCAGCTGGTATTCTGATATTCTCAGTGAGTTCACAACAGAATATTCCACCTCTAATCTTTTTCCGGTCTTTCTTCAGTACATGAAGAACAGACCACTAAATAGAGGCCCACAGACTAGGACTTAACATTCACCCTTCTGTTGATCTTAATCTTCACTTGTCTGTCAATCAAAATATGACACATATCTTCTCAAAAGTTTTTCTTTAATCTTCTGTTTTCTTCTCTCAGTCTTTCAACTTCGGCTACGAGATCCCGATTAACTGAATGATGCTCCAACATGCCAAGCACCTCAGTCTAAAAAACGACAGATAAAAATGAGTAGAGTAATCTCTAAAATTTATCATAAAAGCTTTGTTTGTTGTTTAAAGCCGCAATCAGCAATGTTCAAGCAATATGGCAGCGGTCTGTATAAAATCAAATCTATACCAGACAACCAATGATCAGCATCATGATCATTGATCTACGCAATTGGGATATGATGACATGTGTCAACCAAGCCAGCAAGCCTGACCTCCCGATCCCATTAGTCGCTTACGACAAGCATGGGTTGCCGAAGACCAATTCTAACTCGGATCTTCACGGGTCTAACATGAAAACACTATTGGATGCTTTTGAGTAGGATGACATTTGTTTTCAAATTGAGTAATAAAATTGTCAAACAGGTTTGTATACACTATTTTCCTTCATTCCCTTGAGTGCACATGTGTGTTTTGCAGTTTAGTCACTATTTTTAACAAAGGAATCAAGCCAGTGCATGTTTTTCGCAAGAAGGAGACTGAACTCAGAGATTACAGTGTTTCAAAAGAATGAGTATAGTACGCCGCTTGTAGCCATGTTCCAGTAATACCACCTTGAGGGACACTAGAATAGGCAGACAATGTACCCATGTGGGGAATCAAACCTGGGTGAGGTGAGGTGAAATTGGGTTTAACGTCGTGCTTGAGAATATTTCGCTCATATGATGACGTGCATGTGTTTGTATGTGTATGTGCGGCTGCTTGTACTAGCCCAGAATTAAGCTGGTTTTTGAGATACCATGCCGTGGAGATACCGTGAAGCATGAATACCCCACTCAGACACATTATACTGACTCCGAGCCAACCAGTCCTTGTTGTACCCATTAATGCCGAGCGCCAGGCAGGGACCAACAAGTACCATATTTTAACGTCTTTTGGTATGATGCGGTTGGGGATCGAACCCGAGACCTTCCGCTCTCCGGGCGGACGCTCTAACCACTACACCACGGAGGCAGTCATCGAACCTGGGTCTTCTTAGTGACAAGGGAATGCTTTAACCACAAGGCTACCCAAAAGGCTGCTTCAAATTTAGGCAATCGTTGACAGGGTTCATACAGTTTATCAGTCATCAAATTTTAGGCCATTTTAGGGCCAAGAAACAATTTGAAGGGCCTAACAAAATACACATAAACCGTAAGAGTTGAATCACCATGAGAGTGGTCGAATGTGGGACAAATTATGGAAGGGAAATAACGCTTAGCTAGATCATTATGCTTTTAAAGTTTTGCTAAATTTAGAACCTTTTCAGGGCAAATTTTTTTCATTAACATATCTGTCACTACTACATTGCATTTTGGCCGTCTGCATTCATGGGTGACAGAGAAACACGCCGCTTACAAACCCTGAAGTATGACGATTAAAATACAAAGCTATCTAGAGTTTAACAAAATATGGAGGGATTTAACAGTGCCCTGTTTTTCAGAAGGCATTGCAGGAGGATAACTGTTTCAGTCTCCTCAGAGCTTATTATCTCAACTAATAAAAGAGTGAGCGAGCAAGTTAAAAGTTTACGCTGCATTGGTATTATTTCGACCAGTTGGCAAGGTCTGCACATACACACTGCTCATAAAAGAAGATAATGAGGTGAATTTTCATTTCTAAAAAAGGTTCTTGGAAAATTCACGACATATTCCAAATATTTTCAACATTACTGATGGAGTAGACATAAGTTCGTACAAAGTTGAGTGCCATGTAAAGGGAGATAACACACCTGCTGAAACTGAAACTGGCGGAGCATCTCGAGATGAACGAGCTGGAGGTCTCGGTGGATGTCCTCTCGGAACTCCTCCAGCGCTTCACGGATGAGGTTCCGGATGAACTCAGTCTGGAATACACTGGTCTCAGATGCTGCTGGGCCACTGTCACTCCTTGGACTCTGTAGGAGTGAGTGTGTGAGTTTAGTTTTACATAAATTTTACCAATATTCTAGCAATGTCATGGCAGGGGACACCAGAAATGGGCTTCCCACAATATACAGAGATGCCAACCCTATTTTGGGCCTAAGTGTAATACTTGAGGTCAAAAAAGAGTAATTTGGATCTAAAAAGTGTAGTCCTTGTCTGCCGATTGCTTCAAAATGGTACACGTTTACACGAAAGGAAGATTCCAGACAGAAACACATGTGACAAATCATAATGAAGCTTCATAAATCAAAAATTGTTGGTCATGTTACTCAAAATACTTTAATTCCTTGCGAGTTAATTGGAATGAGTGCGATGCTAATAGTAAGCGATTCCTATCGGTGCAAGGCCATTTCTGCACCCCTGCACCTGTGCGTTATAAAACACTTCCCTGTGAAATTTTATCCACTTTACTGATTTTTCGTAAAACAAGTTGAAAAGCGTAAATTTCGCATATAAAGTGTAATGGCGTAATTTAATGGTCAAAATCGTAATAATTACGCCAAAAGCGTAATGATTGGCATCTCTGCAATATACCCATGTGTGGAACTGAACCCGGGCCTTCGGGCATGACGGACAAACACTTTAACCATAAGGCTACCCCACTGCCCCGGGCTCAGTGATGCTATCAACAAACCCGCCTACATCAATTATAAAACAGTAACCATGGTAACCACAATGAATGTACATGGTCTGTATTAGATCTAGTGCCAACAGATGCTGAAACATATTTAGGATGAATCTAGGATTTGAACCTATGGTCATATGACCTATCTTTGCTGCTGTAACTATGATCTATCTGTCCCTTACCTGAATGGCCTTCCTGCCAACTTGACCAAGGAGGTGGTCAGGGGCCCTATGATCTATCTGTCCCTTACCTGAGTGGCCTTCCTGCCAACTTGACCAAAGAGGTGGTCAGGGGACCTATGACCTAACTGTCCCTTACCTGAGTGGCCTTCCTGCCAACTTGACCAAAGATGTGGTCAGGGGACCTGTGACCTATCTGTCCCTTACCTGAATGGCCTTCCTGCAAACTAGACCAAGGAGGTGGTCAGGGGACCTATGACCTATCTGCCCTTACCTGAGTGGCCTTCCTGTCAACTTGACCATCAGGGTGGTCAGGGGTCCTATGACCTATCTGCCCTTACCTGAGTGGCCTTCCTGCAAACTTGACAAAGGAGGTGGTCAGGGGACCTATGACCTATCTGCCCTTACCTGAATGGCCTTCCTATCAACTTGACTATCAGGGTGGTCAGGGGACCTATGACCTATCTGCCCTTACTTGAGTGGCCTTCCTGCCAACTTGACCATCAGGGTGGTCAGGGGACCTATGACCTATCTGCCCTTACCTGAGTGGCCTTCCTATCAATTTGACTATCAGGTTGGTCAGGGGACCTATGACCTATCTGCCCTTACCTGAGTGGCCTTCCTGCCAACTTGACCATCAGTGTGGTCAGGGGCCCTATGACCTATCTGCCCTTACCTGAGTGGCCTTCCTGCCAACTTGACTCTCAGGGTGGTCAGGGGACCTATGACCTATCTGTCCTTACCTGAGTGGCCTTCCTGCCAACTTGACCATCAGTGTGGTCAGGGGACCTATGACCTATCTGCCCTTACCTGAGTGGCCTTCCTGCCAACTTGACTATCAGGGTGGTCAAGGGCCCTATGGCCTATCTGTCCCTTACCTGAGTGGCCTTCCTGCCAACTTGACTATCAGGGTGGTCAGGGGGGCCCTATGGCCTATCTGCCCTTACCTGAGTGGCCTTCCTGCCAACTTGACCATCAGTGTGGTCAGGGGACCTATGACCTATCTTCCCTTACCTGAGTGGCCTTCCTGCCAACTTGACCAAGGAGGTGGTCAGGGGACCTATGACCTATCTGTCCCTTACCTGAGTGGCCTTCCTAAACATGGCCTTCAACTCCTCCTGCATCTGCTCGGAGTAGTCTTTGACAGCTTCCTTCACAAGGTGGCGCAGCTGTTGCGTGTTGGTGGGGCTGCCATGGGAGGGGGACCTTAGGCGAGTATCTACACGGCTGCTGGCCCGCCCACTGCGGGGACTGTCACCGCTGGTGTTGCAGCTCCCCCTGCCGTCTGTGACATCCCCCTCAGCACCATCTGCACTGGACTGAACAGGTAGGTGGAGCGACGGCAGGCTGGGAGATGCACAGATACCTTTGGGGGAGTGCTTCCTTCGAGTTGGTGATTCAAACTCTGAAACAACAATAACATAGAGAGTGAGTGATTGAGCGAATGAGTGAGTGAATGAGTGAGTGAGAGAGCGAGCAAACAAGTTTAGTTTTAAGACTCATTCAGCAATATCCCAGCTCTATGATCGAGTCTGGCTCAGACAATCCAGTGATGAGCATGAGAATTGATCTATTGGGATACGAGTGAGTGAGTGAGCCGCACTCAGCAATATTCCAGCTATATGGCAGCGGTCTGTAAATAATCGAGTCTGGACCAGACAATCTAGTGATCAACAGCATGAGCATCGATCTAAGCAACTGGGAACCAATGACATCTGTCAACCAAGCCAGCGAGCCTGACCACACGATCCCGATAGTCGCCTCTTACAAGCATGGGTTACTGAAGGTACATTCTAACCTGGACCTTCACGGGTTATTGGGATACAATGACATGTGTCAATCAAGTCTGTGAGCATGGCCAACCGATCCTGTTAGTCGCCTCTTACGACAAGCATGGGTTGCTGAAGACCAATTTGAACCCAGATCTTCATGGGTGGGTGAGTGAGAGAGTGAGTGAGTGCAGGGCTCCAGATAAGGGCCGTATTGGCGTATATACGGATATAAAATATGCACGATAAGGTAGGAAATAATTTAGAATACGTAGCAGATACGCACTACAGCAATGGTGTATGGTCTTAGAATCATTTACAGACGGATTTTTTAAAGTATTGTTTTATTGTTTATTGACCTGTTTACACAAGAGAAGCAATGGTGTGGTGCACAAGGTTACTGATACTCCAGTAATTCCAACTAGTACTCTTAAGGTTTTCCAGTACTCCTCTGTTGAAAATATAAGGAGTACGTACGTACTCCTGATGTTGAAAAATTATCTGGAGCCCTGGAGTGAGTGAGTGAGTGAGTGAGTGAGTGAGTGAGTGAGTGAGTGAGTGAGTGAGTGAGTGAGTGAGTGTGTTTTAATTCAGCAGTCAGGAATATAGCCACAATATTGACCATGTCTGTATATAATCAAACCAGGACACGACAAACCTGTGTGTTGTCACACTCTAACCCTCTTCATAGCCACTTACCAGACAAATGATACTGGATACTTATTCTGCCTCATGCGGACACATGTGAACGATATCTTTAAATTGCAGCTTAAATACGTATTTACCACATATTCTTGCCAATGGTCACTTGTAGTAGTATTATAATACTGTAAGGTCTCAATGCAATAATTATCACAATACACAGGTAAATACATCATACATATTGTGTTTCACAAATGGCATGGAAACTGCTTTAATACATATATTTTGGAGCAGGCTGAAAGAAAACAAAACTGACAGACAAAAAAGCTGGGTGTTGGTGAGGGGGGTTATTATGAATCGAATTATTTATTTCAGCAACTGTGTCATTTTGTATGGATGCAGTCATGAAAAATTTGTCTATCATATCATCCCATGAGATGTCACTCTGTACTGGTGCACCATAGTATTATTTCGACCCTACTATTTTCAACAACTCTAAACATCCATTGCTTTTGTCAACATCCCCACTGAAAACCAAAACTATGTTCCTAACTTTGAGAACTGCTTTTCTACTTGACCTTGAATTCACCACAGCAAAGGTACAAGTTGTTAGTTCTTCAAAACAATTACAGATAGAGAATAGTCAGAAATTAGGCCACTCTGTCAGCCAATAGTGAGTGAGTGAGTTCGGTTTTGCGCCTCTTTTAGCAATATTCCAGCAATATCATGGCGGGGACACCACAAATAGGCTTCACACATTGTGCCCATGTGGGGAATCGAACTCGGGTCTTCGGTGTGACGAACAAACACTTTAACCACTAGGCTACCCCGCCGCCCCTGTCAGCCACTAGGTACACTTGATGACAAGACTCCTATCACAGGTGCTACATGTTACATGACGGTTACATGTGATCATCTGATACTTCTAGGAATCAAGATTTACCTGTGTGTCCATTAGGCATGGTTCTCTGGTTGCCATAGTTACCATCATCCTGATTGGTCTGATACCTCATGTTTATCACAGGCATACCATCAGACGACATTGACAGACCCTGGAACATACAAAGGAATAACCGTGATAGAGCATTTACGATGACGGTGCTGTCTGCATGATCTGTTTAAATCATTTGGTCACCAAAGTACCTCTTGTAAAGAGAGGATTAAAGAGAGTGCTGCTGCTGTTAGCAATATCTCAAAAACACAATACACATATGGGGACACTTAATGGTCTTCACACATGGGGAATGAAACACAGGCATAGTGAGCTTTACAAAGACTCGATATTTGCATGATGTGGTAATCAAGTCTGTGATAGGCAGGGTTCGATTGAAGAGATGTTAACCTACTTGCACCAGGTGCAACCTGAGATAAAAACCTAGTTGCACCAGCCAAATTCCAGTTGCACTGCTTTTATGGCAATATGTAATGAATGGAATATGCTATTGAATTATTTAGATGTTTTATTCAGAAGTTTACCCACTCTAAATTGACCTGCACCTGGTGCAAGTTAGACTAATAACTACGTTGCACTTTGTAATATTGGTTAGCATGAGTGCAAGTAACAATGCACTAAATCGAGCACTGATAGGCACTTACAAGTTTAACAAACACATATAACTTTGCGTACCTTCATCAGGTTAATACTTTAACTATGCTATACTTCCTGTTGATTTTTCTTGTCATACTGACATCATTCCGACCTTGTTTGAATATCTCTCACACATACAGACACACACAACAAAAAACAGAGTTACCTAGTGGTTGATAGTATGAACAACCATCCATAACTGCATACCATGACATACAAACCGCCATAATAGTCAGTGAGTTTGTTTTATGCTGCTCTCAGCAATTTTCCAGTTTTATGGCGGCGGTCTGTAAATAATCGAGTCTAGACCACACAATCCAGTGATCAACATCATCAGCATCGATCTACGCAATTGGGATACGATGACGTGTCAACGAAATCAGTGAGCCTGACCACCCAATCTCGTTAGTCACCTCTTACGACAAGCATGGGTTACTGAAGATCAATTCTAACCCGGATCTTCAGGGGTTCATCGATTTACAACTCTTGTATAACAATACATACCATTTATTACATTACAAGGAGTGAAGTTAAAAGCTTGAATGATAACAAAGTTTTCAAGAACCAGAATATGCAGATTGTTTAGTAATTTCTGTTTGGCTATAAATAGCAGAATATGCAGTTTATAAAGTTGATATGTTTGTACCCAATAATATCCCATCTTTGCTGTTCGAAACTTGAAACAAATGATTATGGGGTGTGATTCACCTCCAAACATGGCGAAAAATATTGTAACAATCTCAACAATATTATTGGGATACATATTGCATCAAGATCTCACCGCATCGTTTGCATCACTTCTCCAAACATTATACCCATTGGTGGAAATACCTTTAAAATTGCTAGTGTACTCTGGTACAGTGGCACATGTAAAATCACTTGCCCTGATAAGTTTTCCACTATACCGGCCGTCTTCTTGTTGATTTTTGAAATAAACAACATAATTAACATTGGAAAGTCAACTGGACACCGGTATAGCGTGATATACAAATTTGCTTGCCCAACAGAAAAAAACACACTGGACTCGGACGTCGGGCAATGGGTTATTTCCACCCCTGGTACCAAATTCCGAATTTCAACAAATTGTCTGTTCTTTCATCATGTACAGTCTTTCATTAGGTCATGCGCAGGCAAAGTTCCAATGTAGATTTACCTGGCCATGGAGCATCGGGCTGTGTACAAGGGGACTAAGTCCTCGTTCGTTGAAATTTTGTCTCCTCGGAAAAGATGTGTCGCTGGCATTGCTGAGTCCAAGGTTGTTGGATATGGGCGAGAACACACCTGAAACCGTCCCCATCGAACACTCAGAGAAGAGTCATCAGAAGATGACATGTCCCTCTGGCCCCCACATATTTGAAAGAACAAATCATCTGACAGTTACTTAAAGTCCGAATCGTTTCCATGGAAATCATGAGAAATATAAATGCCAAAAATTAGTAAATAGAAAAAGGCACCATTTCAAAATTTGACTTATATATCTGCCAAGTTCTGTTGAAAGATACTGAACGCTTTTCGAGCTGTACACCGGAAATGAAGCCCACCCCTTCCTTTTGGGACTAAGTCCTAATTGTTTCCATGGAAACCGGAAAAAAATAATATGCCAAAAATCTGCCAAATAGCAAAAGGCACCACTTTGGCATCTGCCTCACATATCTGCCAAGTTTTGCTGAAAGATATTAAGAAGTTTTTGAGTTGTGCTCCAGAAACGAAGCCCACTCCTCCCTTTTGGGACTAAGTCCAAAGGCACCACTTCAAATCGTATTGCATGGAAACCAGTTGGGAAAATGAAAATGCCAAAAATCTGCAAATAGCAAAAGGCATCACTTAAGGTTTTGTTTGATATATCTACCAAGTTTTGTTGAAAAATATTAAACGTGTTTTGAGTTATGCTCTGGAAATGAAACCCACCACCCTTTAAGACCAAAACGTTTCCATGGAAACCAAAAATAATAAAAATGACAAAAATATGTAAATAGCAAAAGGCACCACCTTAGGTTCTGTTAGATATATCTCCCAATTTTTGTTGAAAAATATCAAACGGTTTTTGAGTTATGCTCTGGAAACAAAATGATTACGGACGGATGGACAGACGAGGCGTCGATTACATCCCCCTGCATTACATGCCGGGGATAAAAATCTATTCAGGCGAGGTGAAATGGTATTTCATAGTGAGTGAGTGAGTGTGTTGGGTTTTACGCCACTTTTAGCAATATTCCAGCAATATCACAGCTGGGGACACCAGAAATGGGCATCACACATTGAGAACCTGTGACGAGCAAACACTTCAACCAATAGGCTACCCCACTGCACCGGTATTTCATAATAATAGCCCTGACACAGCATTGTGTATGCATGTATAGGTATTTGTTCTCGACAAATGCTTATTTTATAGTTAAGCCAGAGCATAACATATACCCCACAAATTTAGCACGTTTAGTGTTTGAGTCAACCAGTGCTTGTCTTAACCCCTAAATTCTGATTTCATTTTGTTGTTGTTTAATGCTACACTCAGCAATATCCCAGCTATATATGGCAATGTTCTTTAAATAATCGGGTCTGGACCAGACAATCCAGTGATTGACAACATGAGCATCTATATACACAATTGATATGTGTCAACCAAGTCAGGGAGTGTGACCACCTGATCCCATTAGTAAGCCTCTTACAACATGCATGGGTTGCTGAAGACCAATTCTAATCCCTATCTTCACGAAAGTGCCCTTCATTCTGAGACCAGTGTGATAACAAGTACACTCTTTAAATGTCTTATGCAATGGCGCAGTTTGGCTTTGAACCACCAGTTTTCCACCATCATGAAAGAATTTCCACTACTCCAGACACTCGTAGTTTCCAACACTGCTTAGGCTGTCTCTATATGGAAATGCTGACAGACTTTACCATTTGTTCTGACCGTTAACTTTCACGATTTGTCATACTTTTATATCTGAGCACCTGCAATCCTGGGTCATGTTCAGCACAGTGTGATCTTTGTGCTTGAACTGTTGCAAGTCAATGTTAAAGTACAGATTTTCTGATCATCTTAGCACTAAGATGGCTTGTGAATCAGGGCTCTGCTTACCTTGACCAGAGTCGTTCTGATGACTTGAATGACCAAGTAGATTCCCTGATCGGTTTCCAAAATCACTTCGATTGTCTCCTCGGATCTCAGTAGTTGAGTCACCTGATACACAAAACATATCTTCTATTCACAATGGGTCTGTGTAGTGTGTTTAGTGTGGAATGCTAGATGTGTAGGGTTTGGGGTTTGGGTTGTGGAGTGTGCGGCATGGGTTGTGGGGTTTGGGGTTGTGGAACGCTGGATGTGTAGAGGTTGTTTGTGGTGTGGGATTATTGGTTTGGGTCGAGGAACGCTGGATGTGTAGAGGTTGTTTGCGGTGTGGGATTATGGGTTTGGGTCGAGGAACGCTGGATGTGTAGAGGTTGTTTGTGGTGGGGGATTATGGGTTTGGGTCGAGGAACGCTGGATGTGTAGAGGTTTGTGGTGTGGGATTATGGGTTTGGGTCAAGGAACGCTGGATGTGTAGAGGTTTGCGGTGTGGGATTATGGGTTTGGGATGAGGAACGCTGGATGTGTAGGTTGTTTGTGGTGTGGGATTATGGGTTTGGGTTGATGAACGCTGGATGTGTAGAGGTTGTTTGTGGTGTGGGATTATGGGTTTGGGTTGAGGAACGCTGGATGTGTAGAGGTTGTTTGCGGTGTGGGATTATGGGTTTGGGTCGAGGAACGCTGGATGTGTAGAGGTTGTTTGTGGTGTGGGATTATGGGTTTGGGTTGAGGAACGCTGGATGTGTAGAGGTTGTTTGCGGTGTGGGATTATGGGTTTGGGTTGAGGAACGCTGGATGTGTAGAGGTTTGTGGTGTGGGATTATGGGTTTGGGTTGAGGAATGCTGGATGTGTAGAGGTTGTTTGTGGTGTGGGATTATGGGTTTGGGTCGAGGAATGCGCTGGATGTGTAGAGGTTGTTTTGTGGTGTGGGATTATGGGTTTGGGTTGAGGAACGCTGGATGTGTAGAGGTTGTTTCTTGGTGTGGGATTATGGGTTTGGGTTGAGGAACGCTGGATGTGTAGAGGTTGTTTGGCAGTGTGGGATTATGGGTTTGGGTCGAGGGAACACTGGATGTGTAGAGGTTTTGTGGTGTGGGATTATGGGTTTGGGTTGAGGAACGCTGGATGTGTAGAGGTTGTTTGTGGTGTGGGATTATGGGTTTGGTTGGGAACGCTGGATGTGTAGAGGAGGATTATGGGTTTGGGTTGAGGAACGCTGGATGTGTAGAGGGTTGTTTGCGGTGTGGGATTATGGGTAAGGGTCGAGGAACGCTGGATGTGTAGAGGTTGTTTGTGGTGTGGGATTATGGGTTTGGGTTGAGGAACGCTGGATGTGTAGAGGTTGTTTGTGGTGTGGGATTATGGGTTTGGGTTGAGGAACGCTGGATGTGTAGAGGTTGTTTGGGGTGTGGGATTATGGGTTTGGGTTGAGGAACGCTGGATGTGAAGAGGTTGTTTGTGGTGTGGGATTATGGGTTTGGGTCGAGGAACGCTGGATGTGTAGAGGTTTGGGGTTTGGGATTTGGGCTGTGTGTATATGTTCAAAAATTCTCATGGAAAGCAAAACCAACTGGGTATGGTGCTGATAAACCAAGCACCACAATCAGTACAAATCATCAGAATCATCAGTGGATCCTGTTGAGACTATGGGACACAACCACAAAGATGTAACATGTATGTGATGGCCTACCCCCTCTTGTAAGCGAGACAGGTGTATTCCCTTGTACTAAGTGAAGGGCTTGACCCTCAATTCAACCAACACTGATAACACAGGTAAAATTCCACCCTGTACAAGCGTACCTTCCTTCAACGGGGACACAACATCAATGATGGCTGCAGATGTTATTCCAGCAAGCTGTCTATCCACTGTGGGTACTGAGACTTGGACTAGAAGAACAACATTTTGATAATCATCATAAAACATGACAATGGTAACCATACAAACTGTGAGGCTAAATGTCGTTTTGTCATTTTGTTTCTTGTTTAACGCCGAACTCAGCATTATTCCAGCTATATGGCAGTGGTCTGTAAATAATCGACCAGACAATCATGTCATCAACATTATGAGCATCGATCTACGCAATTGGGATACGAAGACATGTGTCAACCAAGTCAGCGATCCTGACCACCCAATCCCCTTAGTCGCCTCTTATGACAAGCATGGGTTGCTGAAGATCAGTTCTAACCTGGATCTTCACCGGTGCCCTTAATTCTGATTATCAGCATAACACCAAGCACACTGATCAAGTACAATGGTCAAGCCATTCGTGGTGGAGATTAATGTAACACTGCAGGTTCATCTACCATGATTGGATGCAGATGAAAATGCTTCATCTGTGTTTCTCTGTGGCGCTGTAGGAAGCTGGGCGCCGACTCTGTGCTCCTGTGCTACTGTTCTCAGTCTGAAACATAAATACAGCTTCTACACCCATTCCAGAAAACTGTCAGCTCAGGGTTTCAGGTTGGTTCAGCTTGTAGGGACTTCGGTGCCGATGAGTGGATGGGACATCAAGAGTGAGTGAGTGAGTTTAGCTTTACTCCGCACTCAGCAATATTCCAGCTATATGGCGGCGGTCTGTAAATAATTGAGTCTGGACCAGACAATCCAGTGATCAACAGCATGAGCATCGATCTGCGTAATTGGGAACCGATGACATGTGTCAACCAAGTCAGCGAGTGTGACCACCTGATCCCGTTAGTCGCCTCTTACGACAAGCATGGTTTACTGAAGATCAATTCTAACCCTGACCTTCACGGGTATGGGACATCAAGAATGGGCTGGGGGTGTGTGGGTATGGTTTTGCGGAGCATTTAGCAATATTCCAACAATATCACAGCATGGGAAACTAGAAATGGCTTCACTCATTCTACCCATGTGTGTAAACTAACACTCGCCTTCAGCGTGAGGAGAACATTTTAACCACAATTCTACCCCACAGATCCTTGAATTGGAACTAAACCCAGACTTTAGCTATCTCAAAGTTAAGTAACATACCTCTAAAGGGTTTGACTGACTGAGTTTAGTTTTACGCAGCTTTTAGCAATATTCCAGCAATATCAATGGGCGGGGAAAGGGTTTGTACCCATGTGGGGAAAACATTACTAACGCTTTAACCACTAGACTACCCCACCGCCCCTTATGGGTTTGAAAAGCCATTACTAACATACGACAAATTGATACCATCATGCTGCAACAGGTTGCATTTTGACCTGAGCAAGTTACTTTAGATACATGTAACATTAAAGAGGTGACTGATAGCTTCTGGTACCAATCACAAGGCTTCTATCATAACTCACTTCTGCTTCTTAGGTAAACAGTAATGTAATGATTTATAACCTAAATCTGAGTTTCACAGTGATTAAACCTTCACAGATGCGGCAGCCATCTTTGTTGACACTGTCAAGCTCAGTTGTAATGGCTTATCTGATTGGCTTCTGTGAGAGTGCGGAGCCATCAAAGGGAGGTAATAATACAAGCATTGTCACTAATGTGACATAATCCCCCGCCGCAAATTATCAAATCAAACTTAAAAAGTAATGAAAGTTTAAGATGAAGTTAGATGTCAAAAAAATAACCATGACCAGTCAACCTCTCTTGATATCTTGCTCTTAATAATTAGTTGTTCAAACAAAATTTAACCAAACCTGCAGAGGTTTTCAATTCTTTGAAGAGAGTCGCCCTTGGGGTACATATTATGCATTTTCCGGCTGAAAATGTCCTGTGACAGTTGTATCAATGTTTTTGAATAAAAAGATTGTACAATAAATAAACTCTTTATTTATTATAAGACCCTACCTCACGGAGTTACCTCCCCTTAGCTTACGCGCACTCAACTGGGTAGGCTCCTAGACCCGTGATCATCATTCCTTCTGCTGAATTCTTATCAGTGAACAGAATTGGCGGGAGGTGGAGGCCTTTATTCAGGATCTACTCTCTTCAAAGAATTGAAAACCTCTGCAGGTTTGGTTAATTCTTTTCAGAGAGATCGCCCTTGGGGTACATATTATGCATAAACACAGACTCCCAAAGACCGGAGGCCAGGGAGGAGGGAATTCTGTCCAAGCACACTCAAAAATATAGCCATCGTGATCATGGAAAAATTGAACAGACGCCATAACACTCACCTGTCACTGACCCAGTTTCGGCTCATGAGAGGCATTATGGGAGGGGAACTGACAGGGAGGATTTGTGCTCAAAGACTACTTCTAGCATAATGAGACATTGCACGAGTGCTTAATATCAACTAAACCCACCCACTAAGTGGCTTCTTCATGAGAGCACCGAGAGGGGAAAACAAAATACCACTCACTAACGATACAGTAACTCCGCAGAGAGAATCGAAAGGGGTACAGGTTCTCTGAGTGAGCTCACATTAGCAGACATGTCAATAATGGAATCTTATTGTACAGTAGCCAAAACAAACCAATAAACCAAGACTCACTCGGTCAGGGTGGCAGGACACTGTCCACTGGAGAGAACAGTACGGCCAAAGTTTGCACGACACGGAATGCGATCGAGCTGATAATGGCGATAAACGCGGCTTGGCCGGCTCCAAATAGCGGCGAGCAGATCTCTTCAATGGGGAGTGCCGATGCAAAAGCTTTTGATGCGGCTACTGCCCTGACCGAAAGTGAGCCTTCAACCCTCAGGGGAGGCTTTGCCCTTAGCCTGATAAGCCGCAATAAATACACGATACTAGCCAGCTTAGACAAAGTCTGCTTGCTCGCTGGCAGACCAGCCTTCCCGCCATCAGAATAACAGAACAGCTGGCACCCGCATGACGGATCCCCTGCGCTCGCTTTGAGATAGACTTTGAGCCGCCTTACTGGACATCCAACGGTGAGTGCTCAGAGGAGTGGTCCCCGATGTGGAAGGCTGTAAGAGTAGGAAGTTCGATAGGAGCTGTCACATGGAAAGCTTGATCGACCTTCGGTCGGTAAGCATCTGGGAGGCTTAATACTGACACGATCCGCGGTGAAACACAGTCAGCCTCGGTCGGACGACATAGCATGTAAATCACACCTTCGACCAGATGTTACCGCCACCAGAAAACAGCTTCCAGGTCAACAACTGAATGGAAATAGCCGATAGGTGTGAGAAAGTGGGACCGACAGCCAATCGAAAGCACTCCATCGACAAATCCTAAGGTGGACTGGTCGCCTGAGAGCAGGTCGAATCCGCTCAGCCAGCAGAAAGCGCTTGTATCAGAGGGTGCTGCCCCAGAAGAGCACCATCGACAGGTGTGAAAAGTGGAAATAGCGGTGGAGTAGCCGCTAATGGTCGGGCCGCCAGGCCTTCTTCCAAACGAGCTTGCAAAAACTCCAATACTGGACTAAATCCGCAGAAAAGGGATCTGCAATCCCCTTTATCTGAACACCAGCGCCGCGATAGCGACCACCTATCCTCGTGACTGAACGCTTGTCGAATCCCACCGGGCCAGAATTGTGTCTGCAACTGCTGCAGGAATTCGCGGCCTCGAGGTTAGACCTGACAGAGGCCAAGCCACCCACTGAATCCGTGGATTTGGGTGGGGCCCGCTCTGAGTGAGAATGTCCGGTCGCAAAGGTAATAGAACAGGAGGCTGAGCCAGAAACCTGAGAATTACCGAAACCAGCTCTGTGGACGGCCAAAGCGGTGCCAGTAGCACAAGTAGCCGAGCTGGCTGGGTGGACAGCTGTGAAAGGACACGGGAATGAGTGGTAACGGGCGGAACGCTTCCAGAGCACTTTGCCCGCCCAATCCAGCAGGAAAGCGCCGCAGCCAACGCTCTGGGTCCGCATCCGAGAGCAGAACACGGAAGGTTCGATGCGCCCCTACCGACGCAAACAGATCCACCTCGAACGCAATCTGCATAAACTGGGGGAGATTACTGTGAATATCTGCCCGTCGAAAGCATCCACTGCGGCGCATGGGCCAGGATCCGGCCAGAGAGCCGATCTGCTCGCACGCTCTCCAGCCCCGGAGATAAACAGGGAGTACCTGACAATCGCATTGGTCGCCCAGAGGAGAAAGTCCCACGCCTCCGGAGGAGCCGCTTGGGGACACCGTGGCCTCCCTGCTTCAGGATGTACCACATGGCCGCCTGGTTGTCTAACTGAAGACGGACTACCTGGCCAATGGACATGCTCTCTGAAGCCAATACCAACCGCACAGCTCTCAGTTCCAACACGCTGATGTGAAGGTGAGCTTCGCTTCGACCAGAGTCCGAAGCCGACAGACTGCCCAGAACGCCCCAGCCCGTGAGGGACGATCTGTCTGAACTGTGAGAGCTGGCGCCGGATTTCCAAGGGGAACCCCTGGTGAGATTCCCCGACATTTGTCCACCACTGAAGGTGAGGTGTCAACCACTCGGGACTGTGAGACTGGCGCCCAGATCCTCCGCGGTGAGTCCACAGCCCAGCCAAAGCTTGCTGTATGGGACGATCCTCAACCGCCTCGCCACACTACAGAGATCGTCGCCGCCATATGGCTCCAGTAGACGGAGCCAAGTCCGCGGCTGGTGCCTGGGGCTGGGAGAGGAATGAAGAGACCATCTCCTAACTCTGGTGACCCGGGTCGGGCGACAAGGAAACAGATCCTTGTTCGCTTGAATCGCTGGGCCCAAGAAAACCAAGTCCTGGGTGGGTACCAGGTCGGATTTTGAGGTTGATGATCCACCCCAGTCGAAGTTAGAATGTCTATCACTGTGTGAGTAGCATCTTGACTGGCTGGCTGTGTTAGTGCTCGAGCAACCAGTCGCCTAGGTAAGGGTAACAACGCCTTTCCCTTGCGAAATGCAGCTAGGGTAGCTGGGACTAACATGAGCTTGGTGAACACCCTTGGGGCAGTCGATATGCCGGAAGGGGAGCACCCTGAATTGGTAATACATCCCCGCCGTGAAGAGAACCGAAGGTACTGCTTGAACGATGGATGTATGGGTACATGCAGATATCGCGATCCTTTAGGTCGATTGACGGAGCCAATCGCCGGGCTGAACAGATGAGATCACCGAAGCGCAGTGTTCCATCTTGAAGGATGGTACTCGAAAGCATGCGATTCAACCCCTTGAGGTTGAGAATCGGACGGAACCTCCGGCCGCCTTCTTCGACGAGGAAGTACGCGGGAATAAAATCCCCGCCTGTTCCTTCCGGTGGAATGCGCCGATTGGCGGACTTGTCCAGCAGAGCCTGAACTTCGTCAAGCGCAATATGTCCGCCTCTGGCTTGACATGACGGCACCGGAGTGCGACGTGATGCCGTGAAGTCGGGCGGACCTCGCTTCCACAGTGGGAGATGGCCTATGCTGACCGCGGGCCAGCACCCAAGCGTTGTTGGTAGCCTTCTCCCATTCCGCAGGAATAGAGAGAGGCGGCCTCCCACTGGGATATGGGGTAGGAGCGCTGCGGTGTAGACCCGGTAGCGGAGCTGACTGGGCGTGACACACGGCTTGAGCGGCAGCCTGATGGGTTAACGGGAGGTCGGGCAGACCTCCCGCTACCGCTGAAAAGGCTGGGAGCTAGTCGAGGACTGCTCCTTGCCCCTACCCTTTGGCGGACCTGTTCCTCCCGCCTACCCCTACCAAGCGGCCGGGCCAGCCGGCAGACTCGGGTGTAGGCTGCACCCCGGGCGGAGGAAGGTGGCACGGAGCGCTGGGGCGTAGACACCGCTGGTGCTCCAACAAGGCCTTAGAGTCCTTTGAAGGAGGTAGCTGCAGCGCAGCCTCCCCGCATGACCTGCTGGGCCCCTGGAAAGAGGGTCGCCCCAGACGGAAAGGGAGGGCCAGCAAGGTCTGCTGTGTTGCTGCCGAAAGTACCTAGACGCCGACAGCCACAGCCGGGCGATCCCCATGATCGCGCACATCACCGCCGACGCAGCAGACCGCAGAAAGAGTCGCGCCGCAGGTGAGCCTGCACTTCCCAAAGCTGACGGAGCAGCACGACATACGCGCGCACATCGCCGCCAGCATGCCCTCCGCTTCCAGGGCCTAACCTCTGAACCGAGGAGAGGTAGGCCTCATGGACCACCACTCGCGCACTCTGCTGCATCGCGCTCCGTAGACCTCCTCAGGGTCCGCACGCTGCGTCGCAGGGGATCGCGCCAGGGCAAAGGTGGAGTTAGCGCCCTTGCCGAAAGCAGCCGGAGCTGCCCGAGGAAGCCGAGCCTCCCCAGGGCTTAATGGAAGTGAAAACACATTCGCACAACAATCGGGTACAACGTAACAGGAATCCTCCCTGCTGGTAGCCAAGACGAAGTTCAGGTAAGTCAAACCTTACTCGGCACCAGACAAGAGGGGATCACCACGCCCGGTGACCAACGATGGCAGAATGCGGAGCTGCGCCTGTGAGGGTTGCCTAGGGGCAAACGCTCGCCAGGCAAGCTGAACTCAGTCGAAGTCCACGCGAACCAGCAGGCACCGCTGCCTGGGGTAGGCCCTCGGCAATTCTCTCGCCGGACCTCCCGCAAGGTCGGCAAAACGGAAGCCGCGGCCAGGCTCCTCGACCTCCCCTAAGCTCCATTGCCTCGGCACCCGAGCCCGAAGTCAGAGGCTGGGCCCCTCCGTAAGAGGACCCTAACCCCGACCCGGTGGACTGCCTAACGCTTAGGGAACCACAGGAAGGGAAGAACAGACAGACTGCTCCACGCCCAGCCAGCCGGGCGCGGCGCGGACCCCGTCCCGGTGACGCTGGAGGCAGGCCAGGCAGAACTGGTGCCTCCGGCCTCATGGGGCGGGTGTGCGCAAGGACCGGAATACCAGGAATACTCAACGCCCTCGCCGAAGCCCGAGAGGGGACTGGGAGCACCTCCTCTCCTCGAGCAGCCGAGGCGCCCGGATCCGCCAGAGGCAACGGATCTACAGACGCCTTCAAGGCCGAGGGATCGAGCCGAGCCCGGGCGATCTCCACCCTCGACTTCTTCCTCCGGCCCGAGTGGGTGAGGAACTCCTGCCGGAGACCTCCAACCGACTCACGAACTAAGGACTTCATCGAGTCCATCTGCTGCTGAAACATAGACTCCATCAGTGACATGTCAAAACCACTCGGGCGGCAGGAGAGGGGAAGGGCCACGGATTTTTTCCCTTTTTTGACACACGCTTGACTTAGACGGGGAACCCGCGCCAGGTCCCTCTCCCGCCCACGATTTCGCGATAGAACAAGGTGTCGGCAGCCCGCCTCTTCTGGGCCCCGGGAAAAGGCCAGACAAATAGGGCAGGAGTCAGCCTCATGGCCTGTCTCTCCAGACAGGCCACGCGAACTGGTATGACTGTCGCCCGGGATACTCCCTCACAGACCTAACAGCATGAAAAGGCCTGAAACAAACACGCAAAACATGTTAGTTAACGCGCCAGCAGCATATAAACACACGAAAACATTGAAAACTACGGAAGGTTACCACGGAAAGTAATAGTTGGTTTTAATAATGCAATATTATTTATCATTATGGCACGCTAAACTTCCCGCCATGGCAGAGCAACACGCGGCGTAACCACGGAAAGTTCAGCAGATTTTGTATTAATACAAAGTCACAATTATGAAACAACCAACTGTAAAGCTTTACTGTTCTTGTTTTAGACAAATAAAGACCATACATACAGGTGGTGTCTCAGACATAGTCTCTTTTAACAGCCTCGCACGGCTCATGAATGGGTTATCAAAACACGCCTGTTCACGGCCGTGACAGCAGAAGGAATGATGATACGGGTCTAGGAGCCTACCCAGTTGGTGCGCATGCGTTAAGGGAGGTAACTCCGTGAGGTAGGGTCCGTATAATAAATAAAAGAGTTTATTTATTGTTCAATCTTTTATTCAAAAAACATTGATACAACTGTCACAGGACATTTTTCAGCCGGAAAATGCATAATATGTACCCCAAGGACGATCTCTCTGAAAAAGAATGACTGGGCCCTCTGCCTTTATTAGATGAAGCTTGGTGTCAAATATGAAAAAAATCCAGAGAACGTTTTTTTGCAATATCTTGCTGACTGTTAACATGCAATTTAACATGCTGAAATCTTCAAAGTGTCTTTGTGACCTTGAAATTTAAGTGAAGGTCACCAAAATCAACTGGGCCTTGCACTTTCCCTAGATGAAGCTTGGTGTCTAATATGAAGAAAGTCCAGTGAATGGTTCTTGAGATATCTCGCTGACAACATAACATGCAGGTTAATATGCTGAAATCTTCAAAGTGTCGCCATGACGTTGAAAATTATGTGAAGGTCACCAAAATCGACTGGGCCCGACTTTGACCTTTCTTATACTGTGATGAACCTAGGTACCAAATATGAAAAGAATCTAGTCAAAGGATCTTAAGATATTCCATTAAGTGATACTATACACGTGGAGGGGAACCTAATACTATATCCCTGCTTCCAGGCTAGTAATCGCCGTCTACCCTGGAGAGGGGATGAAGTGACATCGGGTCTGAGCCTCTACATTGTTGTACAAACCTTCTTAAAGTCAAAGTTGGGCTGGAATTTTAGACAGTGTACTGATGACTTGTGCGCTGAGAACCTTTTGACTGGCGTGACACCCTGACGCAGATCGTAAATGAAGATCTTGCCTCTTGTGGACCCAACAGCCACTGTGCCGCCATTGTGCATGATGTCCACTGACGTCAGTGGAGAATCTGCTGTTATCGTCTTCAGAGTCCTGAGGCAGAAACAGAGGATCTTTACTTTTTAACAGTGAGTCCAGCACATTTTACAAATATTTTCAATACATATACCTCATAACATAAGCCAAGGAAAATGTCTATAAGTTTTTGTTAAAGGTGAAGTTTTCAGCAATTGTTGAGTAACATACTACCAGGAGGCAGAAATTATCTGGTTTAAAACATGATGTAAAGGAAATAAATTGCTTTTTCTTAAAAATTATGTGTGAGAGCGGTACCAAGGAACTCATAATTAGCTGTGCATTAATGATGTAGTTCCAGGGTGTGTTCTCATGGTGTGACTTTAAATAACACCACCCTTGTAACATCAGAACACCCTAATTGTAATGATTAAAAATCATACACAACTAGTTGCGGCCAGGTTGTAAGACATACGGCACAGTTGAATCATTCTCCATGTTGGTGTAAATGTTTTATCAGCATGTGGTAAATTTAACTGAGACAGTTGGCCTGGTAACACGGGTCCACATTCTAGTTTTGTCCTAAAGGATTACGGAACCTTGAAACTCAGTGGCGACATCTGACCTACCTCTTTCCCTGAAGGTCATAACAGACCAGCTTCTGGTCCAGCCCCACACTCAGCATCAGCATCTCGTTGAGGGGAGAGAAGGCCAGACCTGTTGCTGGAGCCATGTGAACTTTGTTAAAGGAATGGAGCAGACGTCGCGTGTTGGTGTCCCACAGGTTGATGCTGCCGTCGTCCGAGGCTGAACCAAGCAGCGACTTCTTGTAATAGTTGTACTGGAGCTGTCTGATGGCCTGTGTAAAATGTAGGGGTGGGTATTGCAGAGAATTTTCATATTGCGATGTCCTGACAGACAGGATTGAAAAGTCTTTGTCAGTTTCTATTACCACTGATGTCTGAACTTACAATAATGTATACTGTTTCTTTAAAACATAGAAAGCTAATCAGTTCATGGTCTTTGTGTTGTGTATCAACATACATCTTGTATCATGACCACTGTACAGAGACAGACACCTCATACTGGTATTACCAGTCCAGGCATAAGGGGTACGACAGATAGCCTACCTTCTGTTGTATGCGAGACGGGTGCGTTCTGCAGTATGTAGTGAAGTGCTTGACCCTAATTGATTATATCACTGTGACAAGCCTACACTAATGCCAAATCAAGTGTCCCATAAAATCTCTCAAGCATAATCATATTTGACAGTCGTAAATAATTGTAGTCTTGGGTTTCGTTAACTATTACTTACTATTTAAAAACACATGAGTGAGTGAGTGAGTTTAGTTTTACGCCACACTCAGCAATATTCCAGCTATATGGGGGTGGTCTGTAAATAATTGAGTCTGGACCAGACAATCCAGTGATCAACAGCATGAGCATCGATCTAAGCAATTGGGAACCAATGACATCTGTCAACCAAGCCAGCGAGTCTGACCACCCGATCTCGTTAGTCTAAAACCACATGAAACCAGCTGCCAAACATAGCAGAATGAATTAAGTTATTAACATAATGTAGCATCTGCATTTTTTTAGCCATACTGTGGTGAGAGCACAAAAGCAGAGTAGTACAGCATAGTAGAGATAAGTGAAGGACCTGTTAAATTCTGAACAACCTACTGACCAGAGAACTCCCTTACCTCTGCCTTGGGAGCTAGCAGTGGGCTGCTGCTCTGTCCAGTCACAAAGTTATGAAGGATTATCTCCCCTGACTCAGACCCTGATGCAATGTAGGAGTCATTCCAGTTGAACTGTGTGCACGTCACTGGACCTTTGTGTTCCTGAAACATTTTTACTAAAATTATCATCCGTTTCCCCCACTTCTAACCATACACTTTGTGATAGCATATTATTTTGATCATCGCGATTTCGTGATTTAGGCCGAACAGACGTGTTTACGGTAATCCAGTTATGTCATAATGTGTGACAGTATGCCAGCCTAATGTGGGAGGACAGCGTGAAGTGATGCACGTCGGACGTTTTGGTGTATGGATACTGTGCTGAAGAAACGCAATTAAGGCGAGTTAGGATTCTAATCTGATATATTAACTAAACATGCTTCTTGATTAAACTTCCAAACAATCATCTTGCTCACTTTGAAAGATGTCTTGAGTTTCTTCCCCTTGAGATCCCAGACACTGACGATGCTGTCTGAGCCGCCGGTGACCAGGAATCGAGTGTTGTAGCCAATATCCAGACATTGTCGGCCTGGCTGAAAGTGTATGTGGCAGATAGTATAAACCTGACAGAGATCCAACAATCATACAATTGTTTGTGCTCTTTTGCGGAACATTCACCAATATTCCCGCAATGCAAACGATGGAGGCACCGTTATTATTTCTATATTTATTCATTTATAATTGAAGTTCCAGAAAAATGACATGCAAGCTTTTAATACAGCTTGATTCAGTATATACAGAAGATATGATATGTATTTTCAATGGAAATATCTGATAGACACAAGTACTGTCAACTCTCAAACTTCTTTGAGTGGCATTTTAGAAGTTGGGGAGTACAATATAGAACAAACTTTATGGATAACAACTTCTTTTTATTCGTGAGTGAGAGGTTTCGATACAGATTCTTGTACCGTTGTCAAGCATTAATGGAACATGAAGAGGGGGAAGTATATATATACTGAATGTAACAATGTAATTAACATAATTGGCTAGGCTGTTAATTATGTTGTTTTCTTTGTTACATTCAGTATATATATAAGTACAAGAATCTGTATCTGTATCGAAACGAATAAAAAGAAGTTGTTATCCATAGAGTTTGTTCTATATTGAACTCTCAAACTTGTTCTTATTTCTATATGCATGGTATGGCTAAAATAATTCCAAAATGACATTAGATCTTAACTCACTCACTCACACTCCAGTACAGACTTCACAACTTCAGAAATGTTCTGGAATCAAGGCAACATGACAAACAGGCAACCTCTACTACAATCGTTTCCGTAACCGCTGCAGACCTTGACATCTCGTTGGACAAAATATTGACTATCACTGTCATTGTGAAAACAAATTCTGACGTCATTTGAAACTTTAAACAACAAGTAGACAAAGTCATCAATATCCCCCGCAATGGCAAAATACTCTTCATGATTATGTCTACGAGTTATGATTATGTCAAATATTTAGGTGTCTGTATAGAAAAGTGGAAGGAGAGTATTGAAAGGTTTTTAAAGTTCTGCTCCAGAAAGGAGCACTATCACCAATTTCAGTCTATGTCAAACTTGTTGCCATGGAAATGCCAAACATATTTTATTAAAAAATCCAAAACTACCAAAAGGCACCAGTACACCACCAGATCTATGTACGTGCCAAGTTTGGTGAAGAAACATTGAAAGGTTCTAGAGTTCTGCTCCGGAAAAGTGAACTACCACTAATTTCTGTTTTAGTCAAACTTGTTGCCATGGAAATGCCAAAAATGTTTTATTCAGAATTCCAAAACTACCAAAAGGCACCAGTACACAACCAGATCTATCTATGTGCCAAGTTTGGTGAAGAAATAGTGAACGATTTTAGAGTTCTGCTCCGGAAAAGACAAATGTGCACGGACGGACGGACGGACGGACGGACGGAGTCCATTTTAATACCCCCCCGAAAAACGAGTTGTGGGAATAACAATCATGTCAATCCTACCTGGCAGCTGAGCTCAGTTGTCGTTATAGTGTTGTTTTTCACATAGTTGAGGGAGACTTTGTCATCTTTCGTAGAAACACTGCCAAATATACTGCCTACAACAGACACAATAAGTGAAATATTGATTACCTGTCATGCTTTCTCATCAAAAGATCACTAAACTAAAAAAACAAAAACACACACACTCACTCAAACATTAATCACGTGTTAATAACCTTGTACCATCTTTTAGAAGACTGGTAGTACTGTATATTGCAGGAGACTTTCAAATGCTAACTCTCACAGATCCAATCAACACTTTGTTTCAGATGATACAATGATCACAGATTCATTCAACATATTGTCACATGATACAATAATCACTGATCCATCAGATACTTGTCCGACATGACTACAACCACAGATTCATTTAACACATTGTTTCACATGAGACTAGGATCACAGATCAATCAGATACTTGTTAGACAACACTACTGACCATCACAGCTCCAGCTGATGGCAGATACATTGTGATCATGGGGGTTATATTGCTGTACTAGGTTCCATGACGAAGAATCCCACAGCCGGATGTCATCACCAACAGATGCCAACATCAGATCTCCCATTGTGACACCTTAGCTGTCAGCTGATCTCACAAAATATCACTGTAAACATCCTGATGGATCTAAAACAAAAATGCTTAACTTACGAACGCCAGTTATTGATTGCTAGTATCTCAGTGTACCAACAGAACAGTTGTATCAGCATGATCATGTGGTCTGTAAGTGTAAGGCATCGACAAACATATGCTTACTAAAATTTCACATACATTTCAATTGCTAGGGACGTTAAATTCGAACCTTGTGTAGATTACTAGACAGGTATTTACAGAGACTAAGTCTGAGAGAGTACTATTGAAATTGTAATGAATGAACATGGTGTGTTGGTTGACCGAACATGGTTATGTTCCTTTCCTTATAACTAGTACTGAAACACCTTCTGTGCTTTTGCCCTTTCATGTCATGTATTTTTATCGACCAGAAAGACTAGTTTTCTGTTGTTCAAAGCTGTACTCAGCAACATTTCAGCACTATGACGTCTGTCTGTAAATAATGGAGTCGGGACCAGACAATCCAGTGACTGACAACATGAGCATCGATCTGGGAGTTGGAGTACGCATCCAGCGGTGGGGTGCACCCTCTACTTTTGTCCTGAGTTTATTAAATGAGCATTGAAACACTCCGGAAAATGAAGTGTGGGCTAGAATGCACTTTACCGGGCGCTGCTCCCTTTACGATCCTTAGGGTTAGGGTTTAGGGTAAGGGTATGACACCCTTTACGATCCTTGGGGTTAGGGTTTAGGGTAAGGGTATGCCACCCTTTACGATCCTTAGGGTTAGGCACCCTTTACGATCCTTAGGGTTAGGGAACCCCAGCAGCGCTAATTAATCTGAAAAAGTGCGCCCGGTAAAGTGCAGTACTCCCGAGGTGTGCAACCCAACCCCTTTCTCAAGAGTTTGCACCGCCCCTAGTACGATGACATGCATGAACAAAGTCATCGAGTCTAACCACTCACTCCCGTAAATCCCCTTCTTACGAGAAGCATTTTGAGTTTCGGGAAAGATTAGTATGAGATTTGAAAGACCACTACCTAATATTGCATGTGAATTGTTCGCTTGGGGGGAGCAGGGACATCTACACACATGATAACAATATTGGTACACTTATTTACTGGTATATGGAAAAAATGAACAAATGCTCAAACTTGGACAGAAAAACTCAGTACTGGGCAGACAGGTTTAGTTTCATATATATCCAGCCTACAGTCTAAATATTTACCCATAACATAGGAAAATGCTGAGAGACAAGATACCTAATGTGGGTCAACATTCTAAAACATCCAACTTACATATGCTTATTTACTCTCCAGTCTGTTATTATTTTGTAAAGTTTTCTCCCGCCTTCCACTACTTCCGGTAACATCCGGACAGAGGCTCGTTCTCGCGAGAAAATATCGGTCGTACAAAAGTGAAAAATGAAAATAAAAACGAAATATGAAAATATAATAAGTCGCCTACTAAAAATAGAGCACTTTAAGCAGTGAAAATATGTTTTTGCTGCTTCAGTTTAAGAATATAGTCAATAATATAGAGAAAGATTAGTCTACTTTTGTGGTAGACATTGATTACAAACGGTACTTTCCGTATGCAAGTCACTGAATTCAGCAAGATGTTGAGCAATGGCGAATGAGCGGGCTAGAAACCTGTCATGTTGTTGCTTTGATTACTGTTTTTAAGCCACCAAAACAACGTTCAAGTTTTACAATGCATCTGTAGTTACATCACAATGGACGCGTACACGGATTCAGAGTGAGTGTATGAATTAGTCAAATGACAGGGTTGCAGTGAGGGCAAATCTAAAGCTAATCTGAAATGTGATCAGTCAATATTTTTTTCTCAGTAAGAGCCGGTCATTGATAATTTGTCCTTCAAGACTTATATCCATGCACCATTTAAAGATAAACTGAAATGGACTAAATAATGTTTTGTAATCTAGTCTTCGAACCAGTAACGAGTCTCTGATTGTAGTGAAAAATGAGGATAGATTTAAACATCAGTGATTAAGAAAACATACAACTGTATGGATAACGACTTCTAGTTTATTGTACACGTCGACTTCAAAATGTAGGGTCTGACACTGTTAACAACCTCGTGTGATTATGATGTTAGAATCTACCTAAAAAGTTGCTAGATGCGTTGGACAAATTATCTGTAAACTTGTATGTTTTCTCATTTGCACACCAACTTCTAGAATGCCCATCAAACAGTTAAAGTTTCAGTGATAAACATTCTTGTGCTACTGTCCATCAGTCTTTGATAAAAGAGGACCATCAGATAGATACAATAGAAGGGTACAGGTAAACCAATCCTCGGCACTGTTGTACTTAAATGTGTTGCCATTACGACTCCCATAGTGGTAGAAACTATTGCTGTAACATGGTTACGGTCTTATTATTTGTCTGTAACAAACAGGTTCAGTAGTTCCTAACATTCCTTTCAGTGTATCATTGTGCCATTCTTATTTTGGTTTCATTGTGCAGTTGTGAAATCAACAAAATTCATTTACACATTATTATAGTTCCTTATAGCTTGGATTCAGTATTGTTATTGTGACAATTTTCTTATTTCCTTCTCAGTGTCGTGATAATGTCCCAAGTGGAGGAAGTGACTGTTGAGGAAGAGGAGGAAGATAATGTACCCCAACATCGTGGCACCGTGGTTGCAGAGATGGAAAACTCTCATATCCCATTACCACCCCCACCAATACCAAGCTCCTCCACCGTGATGTACCCCCATGTCAGGTAAACATGCCCCTTCCTCCACTGTGATGTTCTCTCATGTCAGGTAAACATGCCCCACCCTCCACATGTCAGGGATGTTCTCTCATGTCAGGTAAACATGCCCCACCCTCCACTGTGTGCCCCTGTCAGCGAAACATGTAACACATACATTGACAGGTAAATATGACAGGTAAATATGACATGGCTACTTAACACCCATACCTTGTGTGCTTCAGTACTGACCACACATACAACTCCAGTGCTACCTGCGAGGAGCGGGCCCTTCACAATGGGTGGAAGAAGAGAGTTGTACGACGACAGGGTGGGAAGACTGCTGGAAGAACTGACGTCTACATTTACAGGTGTGTCAGTTATAATAATAATAATATTCCATTTGTAATGCGCATTTCTCCACGCATAATGCATGCTCGAAGCGCCCAATGTTCAAAGTACACAGCACAGAATTGAAATAAGTTCATTTCATACACTTCACCATGTAAGGTAGGCTTTTTGAAACAGATTTGATCTGAATGCTGAGTATGATGGTGCAGTTCTAAGAGTGTGGGGAAGGCTATTCCATTCCGTGGCTGCATAGAACACAAAGGATCTTTGGCCAAACCTGATGGTTCTGACTCTAGGTACACACAAGACGTTCTGTGAAGCAGATCTGAGAGATCTTGCTGGTGTGTACAGCTGGAGTAGTTCTGTGAAGCAGATCTGAGAGATCTTGCTGGTGTGTACAGCTGGAGTAGTTCTGTGAAGCAGATCTGAGAGATCTTGCTGGTGTGTACAGCTGGAGTAGTTCTGTGAAGCAGATCTGAGAGATCTTGCTGGTGTGTACAGCTGGAGTAGTTCACAGAGATAATCAGGAGCAGCACCAGTTACACACTTATAGGTGATGCACAGAACTTTAAAAGCAATTCTCTGACGGACAGGTAGCCAGTGCAAGTTCTGAAGCACAGGTGTGATATGGCAAGACTTTGGTGAGGTGAGGTGAAATTGGGTTTAACGTCGTGCTTGAGAATATTTCGCTCATATGACGACGTGCATGCGTGTGTTTGTGTATGTGTGACTGCTTGTACTGGCCCAGACTGAAGCTGGTTTTATAGTGCTAGCCAAATGAGATACCATGCCGCAGTGAAGCATGAATACCCCACTCAGACACATAATACTGTCTCCAAGCTGGCCAGTCCTTATTGTACCCATTAATGTTGAGCGCCAGGCAGGGACCAACAAGTACCATATTTTAACGTCTTTTGGTATGACGTGCCCGGGGATCGAACCCGCGACCTTCCGCTCTGCGGGCGGACGCTCTAACCACTACACTATGGAGGCGGTCGCTAGACTTTGGACATAGAGTAACTACTCTTACCAAGTTATTAAGTTACTACTACTTATCAAGTTATTAATGTTGCATTGACACCAGTTATTCTCCTGAGTCTCTAAGGTTCAACTGATAGTGTTGTTCTTCAATCTCGGTGGTAATTCCAAGATATGATAGTTTAATCCCCAATCTGTTTCCTGTGATAATTGGTTTATGTGTCCTCTCGGTTTTCCTATTTTTAGAGCAGAACTCAAGAGCTGTTTAATGTTTTGTTGAAACTTGCTATACAGATCAGTCTTGTGGTGAGTTGTTGGTTTAACAGGGGACTATGTATTCAGCAGCGTTCGTTTGTCCCAATTTTTGTTAACGCTATATCTCATGCACTGTTGTACCCAATGTCTTCACATTTGGTGACAGTCTACATTGGGGGATTGCGCAGACACAAGTCGATTTTTGTGACCTTGACCTTATTTTCAAAGTCATCACGACACTTCGAACACTTTTCCAACTTATGGAAACTTATGCAGACACCAGTCATTTCAGGCATCATGTATGTGACTACAAAATAAAAAGTAGTAAATATGTTTTAATATTTCATTCTTCTTTAGCAGTGGGGGACATTGTCATATTAGTGGCAATATTAGTGGCAAGCACTTGGTTTTTTATGTTTTCGTGACAAGTTGACGTATCCTGAAAATGAGTGCATAATTATGTTTAACTGTCTACACATCAGAAATTTTTTATTAACCCGAAGGTGTCTTTTCTTAAATTGATATGAATATTTTGTACTTACTGTTTTAAATAGTGTTGTTTTTTTATCAGAAGCAGCATAGAATGGTTTATTATGTTTAGAATCATGGGAAACAAAGAACTGTTGTTTGTTGGTAACCTGGTGATGTAATTTCCTTGCAGTCCTGATGGGCGAAAGTTTCGCACCAAAGCGGAGCTTACTATGTTCATTAGCAGCAACCAACTTGATGTATCTCCTGATGACTTCAACTTTTCATCAGATTTGTTAGCTGAAAAATCACAGAGATCAGGAGAAGCAAGGTATTCTTGAAAACAGCTGTCCCTTTTCTACTTATACTGATACCCATGAAGATCCGGGTTAGAATTGGTCTTCAGCAACCCTTGTTTGTTGTAAGAGGTGACTAACATGATTGGGTGGTCAGGCTCGCTGACTTGGTTGACACATCCCATTGTATCCCTATTGTGTAGATCGATGCTCATGATGTTGATTACTTGGTCCACACCTGGATTGTCTGGTCCAGACTCAATTAATTCCAGACCTCCGCCAATTAGCTGGAATATTGCTGAGTGTGGCATTAACGAACGAACTAACAAACTTTTAGTGAACTCTAACTCTTTTCTTCATGTTACTGTAATATCTGTTTAATTTAAGATTATGTCAAATTTAGGCGTGCCTTCGTGAAAATAAGTGTGCCTATACTTCATGATGATGCAATCAAACTTAACGCATCACAACAATTAGTCATTTCCATTTATTGTTCAATGAATCAGTAAACATCATGTAAACCTGTAAACTTGAGAGCTGGATTTCCTAAACACTATCAAGACTGCAAGAAGGGTTCAGCTTCATTTGTCCTGGACCAATAAACAAACCACTATGTTATTATCCAAAACATGATTTCCTGTAATGTGTGCTGGCATTCAAAATGAGTTGAGTTGTGAGATAGAGAGTACTGGATTCTGTTCTGTTCTGAATGTTGATGGTGATGCTTTCCAGACGGTCTGCCACCAAGGTGAAGGTCACACGACAACCTCGATCTAGGAAGGAGGTGGTTGTTACACCTGTGCTAACTCCCCCTCCTCATCAGCACTCAGACTCGGAGGAGACATCACCACTTTCTGCCAGGTAAGTGAGTGCATGTCAGCGAGAAGAGTTACTCCTGGTATGTACCTCAGTATTTAGCTAGGGGGTATTCTTTGAATGACCCACCTGTGAAGGTCCGGGTTAGTATATTGATCTTCAGTAACCCATGCTTGTCGTAAGAGGCGACTAACGGGATCGGTTGGTCAGGCTCGCTGACTTTGTTGACACATGTCATCGGTTCCCGATGTCCAGATCGATGCTGATGATGTTGATCACTGGATTGTCTGGTCCAGACTCGATTATTTACAGACCATATAGCTGGATAAGGGAAATAACTTTAAAATTGCTAGTGTACTCCAGAACAGTGGCACATGTAAAATCACTTGCCCTGATAATTTTTTCACTATACCGGCCGTTTTCTTGTTGATTTTTTTAAATAAACAACAAATTAACATTGGAAAGTCAACTGGACACCGGTACAGTGTGATATACAAAGTTGCTTACCCGACAGAAAAAAACACTGGACTCGGACGTCAGGCTATGGGTTATTTCCACCCCTGTGGAATATTGCTGAGCGCGGCATAAACCTAAACTCAATCACTCACTCTTAGAATGACTAGTTGTAATTTTTCTTGGCCCATGAACTGAGGGTGTCATCTGAATATGCAGTTGTTAGAATCTTGGGAACTTTAAGCTGCTATTACAAGAATATTATCACTCCCTGTCGGCCCTTCCCCTTCGTATGTCCTCATTATGTTTCTACGTTCGCAGCACCATAATTGAGCTCTTGTGTTTCATGGAAGTGGTAAACGTCTCATCACTTTTACTTCTTTAGTTGACACACCATGATATAATGTTGTTAATGCAGCATCAGAGTCAACTCACTGTGACGCATAAACAGGTTTTACCGAAGCACAAATGTGTGTCCAGTATCAATGTGCTAAATAATTTCCAAATTTTGCTAGCCAGTCAGGCTAGCTATGCCTGAAAGTTACTAGCCCACAAAATAATTCACTAGCCCGGAATTTGTTAGAAACTAAGCAAAGGATTCCATAAAGGTAAAATGCCATCAAAACAAATAAGAAAACACATGTCTGAAATATTTTGTATTTTTTAATCTTATCCTATCTCACGATTTGCACTTCTCTCTCTTGCTTCAAGCTGGAGCCTACTTTTTCTGTAGGCCTCTCTTGTCCATACTGTGTTCCCCAGGCTGCTCTCCTTATAGGACAGGTCCCTAGTCCCTGGCTAAGCGTGCAGCACGTTCCCCTGTCTACCCACATGACTACCTCAGAGTGATCATTCTTCTTCTTGTCGCACCACTGTGTGGACGCATTGTGAGAGTTCTCAGCTTTCCTTACAAGTTAACATGAGAAATATATCATAGGTAGTTGACCCTAAGTAGCGTAATTTTGCGACACTGTAACAATATTTTCTTCCTCGGATCCCCACTCGGCGTCATGTGTGGGTTGTATTGACCTGTGTGCCAATACCACATTGCTCAGGAGCACCCACTCCTTGGGAGCCGATGATGCCTAATCCGGCCAACTGGTTCAGGAGAACCCATCACTAGTATAGGTATTATGCTAGTCGGATCCTGGGGCCGAACACCACATCGCTCAGGAACACCCTCTCCTTAGGAGCGATGATGCCCTAGTAAGCCAAGGGGTTCAGGAGAACCCATCACTAGTATAGGTATTATGCTAGTCGGATCCTGTATAGGCGTCGGAACACCACATCAGCTCAGGAACATCCTCTCCTTAGGAGAACCGATGATGCCTAGTAGTTGGCCAAGGGGTTCAGGAGAACCCATGACTACATCACTAGTATAGGTACTATGCTATTATGCTATCGGATCCCCTTGGCCAACACCACATTGCTCAGGAGCACCCTCTCCTTGGGAGCCGATGATGCCAAAGTAAGCCAAGGGGTTCAGGAGAACCCATCACTAGTATAGATACTATGCTAGTTGGATCCAAATAACGCCCAACGCCACATTGCTCAGGAGCACATCCACTCCTTGGGAGCGATGATGCCTAGTAATGCCAAGAGGTTCAGGAGAACCCATCACTAGTATAGGTACTATGCTAGTCGGATCCTTGGGCCGAACGCCACATTGCTCAGGAGCACCCACTCCTTGGGAGTGATGATGCCTAGTAAGCCAAGGGGTTCAGGAAAACCCATCACTAGTAGAAGTACATTCTCTTCCCACAGAGGTTACTCCTGTCATATCTTCCCACGTAACCTCTGTTCTAATAATGCCCTTTCATGGTGTGTGGCGCTCAAGACTCGTGGATTGGAGGCAATCAGATTTAGTTGTGCAATCAGCACGCTTGTTTCAAAAAGTGATCATTCGCAAGGCCTCGTAATTTCCGTGATGCTTCGGAGAAAAACTAAACCTCTTTCCCCGCGCCGATGCTAAACGCTTCTTCTAGACAGAACTCAGTCATGTTATGGCGGATCAGTGGCGCCTCGATCGCCTCGTTGACAACGGACAAGCTAGCCATTAAACGTCTTGTGTGTAATATCAACACAAGTCCCCGCAGATGGGGATATTTGTGGCCCCACATTTGCTTGTGTTAGTCAAGTTGAATCTAAGTCGATGTAACACGGTTCTGATTGGATAGAAAGAAGGGAGATAATTCAGTGTTGCGATCTTTTGCCGCTTAGGGATTTTACGAGAACCGGGAAATATGGTCGTATTAGAACAGAGGTTCAGAGGAAGATATGACAAGTAACCTCTGTGGGAAGAGAATGGTAGAAGTACTATGCTAGTCAGATCTGGCCTCCCTTGTTCGTTTGTCATTAGCCTATACAGTATATACTGTCAGTGCCTTTGACTTAGGGTAATCTGTGACCCAACCATTCAAACGCGTGGGATAGTGCAAATCGTGAGATAGGATAAGTTTTAAAATTTTAAAATTTTAATATAAATTGTATATTTATATACTTATCCTATCTCACGAGATGGAAACCCACCCGCCTCCCTCTATTGAGATTACGACAGTTACATTATAACTGTCATTGGCTCCAAGAAGAGAATGATCACTCTGAGGTAGTCACGTGGGTAGACGTGCTGGAACGTGCTGCACGCTTAGCCAGAGACTAGGGTCCTGTCCTATAAGGAGAGCAAGCAGCCTGGGGAACACAGGCGTATGGACAAGAGAGGCCTACAGGAAAAGTTCTCATTTGTTCCACTCAGCGTTGAAGCAAGAGAAAGGAGTGCAAATCGTGAGATAGGATAAGTATATAACTATACAATTTATATTAAAATTTCAATTATGCTCAAATAAGTCATCATTAAGCTGCTAATATGATGAACATTTTTATCAGACTATAATCTTACATGATTTAAAAGTGTATTATAACTTAACAAGTGAGAGTGATATATGTACAAAATGACTCCCTGAAAATTCACTAGCCAGTCAGGTCAGTGACTTTTTGAGATTTACTGGCCCGACTGGATTTTTACTAGACATGCGGGCTAGCGGGACAGTGGCTATTTCGCACACTGTCTAGTACGCACAAGTGTGGAGGAAAGACCCAGAAAACCCCAAATCCTGTATCCAGAGAGATGCAATACTCAGTTACTCTCTCACTCACTCAGTTACTCACTCCCTCACTCACTCAGTTACTCCTTCACTCCCTCACTCACTCAGTTACTCCTTCACTCGCTCCTTCACTCAAGAGTGTTCCTACAAAGAGTGGTTATCTGTGTCAATTTCATCGATCAGTCAGGACCGCTGTCCACATGATCATTCTTCATTCCAGGCTCTGAAGTACTTATCTGAGCGTACAGTACAAGATTTCAATACTTTACAAGACCCTCGTATTACAAGGACCCGTAAAATTTATTGATGAGGGTCCCTTGGACCCCCAGTCTTGTAAGTCAAAGTAAAACATTTACAAATGTGCCTGTGTGTTCCAGAGGCGACCACACATACGAGGGCAGCAATACATGTGAGGAGGAGCAACTGCTCCCTAATGGCTGGACCAAAAGAGTGGTGCAGAGACTCAGTGGCAAGTCCGCCGGCAAGTTTGACTGCTACATCTACAGGTAATACTGGTGTGGTGTGTAGGGAGATCACACACCAAACAATCAAGTGACAATAAGTTATCACTGAGTTTGCTTAATTACTGTAACAGTGTGATGATCATGATCAGATACACAATATAATAACCAGAGCTCCAGATAAGATTTAGCTCATGTGGGTACTGTACCCACTGCATTTTTGGAGTGGGTAATATGAATGTTGAGTGGGTATTTCATTTTCCGCTACCCACTGCTTTCAAATATGTGCGTATTTAAGTCATTTTACTCACCTAAGTATTATGTCATTGAGTAAGTTTACTAAGCAGGTATGTTTAAAATACACTTGGCTTCTACCACCATTATAGTGTCATAAAACACGGTTGCCCTGAACTATTATAGTGCTTTTAACGCTATAATAGTTCAAGGCGCTATAAAGTGTGTTTTATTACACTATACATGGTGGTAGAGCTTAACTGTATTTCTTTCTAAGATGCCAAATTTAATACTTTCTAAAGATAATTACGATTAATTTAAGGCAGAAAACAAACGACGTGTCGGTGACCTAAATTAAGAATCCTCGCGACAGGGCTAACTGGCGCTGTTCTATTGATGTGTCTGCCCCCTACGCTAACATCTAACGCTACCAGAAAAAACAAATGATAACAGTTTGATGACGGGGTTTACGCTCGATTTAAATATCTTCTGAAAAGTATTTTAATTACATCTGTCATTAACGTGAAACCATATGGGGCAATATGAACGCTGCATTTCTACTACCAACGTAAGTTTAGATCATCAGTACATCCAGAGGAAGTTGAGTAGTCAAGTTTACATTCCACGACATTGCATTGTGGGAATGTAAACATTGCGAACGCTACCGTGTCGCTGAAAACTTGTGAGTCGAAATGACACATTTTAACCGGCCGTGAAAACATAAACGTAATGTTTCCACCAGTGATGTTAGCTGCGCGGAAGCAACAGCAAACCAAGAAACTGGATGCAACGGTGTAGTTTACTGTAGGAGGCCGTACGAGGCGATGACAACTGACATGCATCGCGGACGCCGCTACATTGTGACGTAATGTAAAATGGTTCGATTATGAGGGGCACACTAGAATGGCGCAGTGACGGGATAACGCCATTCAATTGTTAATAACAGTATAAATGATAATATTCAAGTGTCTGGGACGCCCATTGTGTTATCCAGGACCCCTGAAAATTAAGGGTATAAGTCCCAGGACCCTCAAATTGGACAGGAGTCCATGTTAATCCCTGATGTAATTAAAGATTATAATCTATATCTTTACTGTAGCAATACAATGTTTGAAATTTCCCAGACTCCACCAGTGCATGAGTTTGAGAAGGGCATGAAGCTTGAAGCTGTCAACCCAGATAGATAGGTCGTTACCATGCATAATTGTCTCATGACATAGGGGCCAGGGGTGGCAAGTTGTCCTGAGGGGCAACGATTCTCTGTGCGTCGCATCATTGAGGCACTAGAAAAGTCTATGATTATGGGTACGAATCCCATTTCTCTCTGATAATGTTTCTAGGTTTGTCAGCTTCAGTATTCACTGATGTAGTAACGGTTTGAGACTTGCATCACTTGTTGCTTTCCTCCCACGGTTTGGGAGCACAATACTGACACACCATGATATATGAGTCGTATGACTGGAGTATTGTTCAGTGTGGAATTAAGTTCAACCCAGTCACTCATTTTCACCCAGTTACTCCCTCAGTTACTCACTCACTCACCCAGTTACTCCCTCAGTGACTCCCACAGTTAGGCAGTTACTCACTCACTCACCCAGTTACTCCCTCAGTGACTCCCACAGTTAGGCAGTTACTCCTTCACTCACTCAGTTACTCCTTCACTCACTCAGTTACTCCTTCACTCACTCACTCAGTTACTCCTTCACTCGCTCCTTCACTCACTCACTCACTCACGCTTTAAAAGTAATATGGTGTTAAATCCTCTTTTCAGTCCTGATGGTAAGAAGTTCCGTTCCAAGACTGACATTGCCTTGTACATCCACCAGGAGGGTCTTGACATAAGTGTCGATGACTTTGACTTTGCCAAGATTAAAAACAAAGCCAAAGCTGTAGGCGACGTAACTACCAAACTCGGCAAGAGTACAAAATCAAAACGAACAAAGAAGAACCTAATAAAACCCAAACCGGAAAGCCCGAAGAAAAAATCCCCTGTTAAAGTATCACCGAAAAAAGACAATAGGACCCTGGCGCAAAAATTAGTGGTGAAGATGAATTTTGCCACACCCACCAAACGTCGCCAGGATGATCTGAAGGAACGAAGGAGGAGGGAGAGGGAGCAGAGGAAGATGGCTTTGGCGAGGAAGAAACTTGTGGTAGAGGAGCAGGAAGAAGAAGAAGAAGATGGTGTCTCTGATCTATCGGACAATGAGGAGCAATCTGTGATAGTGAAACCTGCTGAGTCAGCAGAAGACTACAGGTATGTGCACGTGACGGACTCAGGGTCGTGGGACAAAGATTCTGAGAGTCGGGTGGACTTGGGTATGAATGTTGAGGCTGGTAGGGACGACGGTGCTGTAGCAGGCTACAGCGGATCCAGTGAGGATGAGGATGGGGATGATGAAGATAGTGCTGAAGAACCACAGAAGGTAGAGACGGCATCGGACAGTGCCGATCTAAGTCACAATACTCCTGAGGAGATGGACATGGGTGATGAATCTGAGGAAGAGAAGGAGGAGTTGTACTCTCGACCAGATGATGAAAGTTCCTCAGAGGAAGAGGAGAGGGAGAATGAGAATTCCGGGATTAAAGATGTCGAAGAGCAATCAAAGGATGAGGACTCGGAGGATGAGGAGGAACGGGCTCTGCAGTACAATGAATACGATGAGCTGAAGCTGATCAGTGAATATGATGAGCCTCAACTAGAGGAGCAGCTCGGGCAGGACCTGGCAACGGCTCAGGACACCATCAGTGGCAGTGGAGACGATGAAGACATCGACTCTCATGCAGAATCGCACGGAAGTGAGGGTGAGAATGGAGAAGTTCTGCCCCAGGTAACCATAAAAAATAGTGGTATATCCTCTGGAGCAAGAAGTGAACCCATTCTTGATAAAATTGCTTCGGAATTTTTTCAAAAGGATTCTTACGGTTTGTCATCATTCAATAACTATGATAAGGAGGAATCCGATTCTGATGGCTTAGCGTCACTTCACTTTTTGCCACTGAAAGAAGATCAGTTGTCAAAGAAGCAACGTCATCCCTCCAAACCAAAGAAGACATCCAATGTGACCACTCTAGAAACAAATGAATTAGACAAATCCGAAGATGTAAAAGACAGTGTTAATATTGATCATATTAAATTAAATAGTGACAGGACTAAAAACATATATCATGACATCAACAAAATTTTGTGTAATGGGGGAAATTTGGTGAGTGGTAAAAATAAGAGTGTTGAGGACAGGTTAGTTGATGTCACAACAGGCAATGAAACAAGATTACCCTCTGATCAGGATAATCAAGAAATTCCATGTGTCGATGTTGAATCGAGAGTTCCGTGTGTGGATTCAGGAGTCCTGCAGGCAGACCCTGATAATGTGGACGAAAATGAGAATGTGACTCTTCCAGAATCTAACAAATATGAGTCTGTTGATCCAATGGCTCTGTGTCGGGTAAAGTTACGTTCACGGCGGTCCGATGTGAGTATGCGCACATCGCGGATGCGGAAACGGAAGGTGAGCTGGGGTGGGACTGAGGACGAGGAGACAGTAGAGAAAGTTCGGCGGCAGAGTCTACAGCCAGAACAGGAGAGACAAGCACTCTCAACACAGAACTGGTCACCTGGTAAGTAGAAGTAATGTTCATTCAGGCCTGCAGTTAGTCTGAGACCAGTGAATGTCCAGATGCCCATGTTGCAACTCATTCTGGTTATTGTTCACAATACACAGATTGACCCTCGAAGAGCGGGGCTAGAATTGGTCTTCAGCAACCCATGCTTGTAGTAAGAGGCGATTAACCGGATCGGGTGGTCAGGCTTGCTGACTTGATTGACAGATGTCATCGTTTCCCATTTGTGTAGAGTGATGCTCATGCTGTTCATCACTGTTCATCATTGTCTTGTCCAGATTTGATTATGTTCAGACTACTGCAATAAAGCTGGAATATTACTGAGTGTGGCATTAAACAACAAACAAACCAGATCGATAGTTGGAGTTCAGTAATCGATAGTAATTGTTAACTCCTGCACAAACTCGTGGGCAATGACTGGACACAATCATAACATTGTCCAAACAAAACAGGCACTGAATAATACCATGATCAAGATACTTCCTCTTTAGACATGCACGCAAGTATTCTATTTACATTGCAGTTTTACGAGTTAGGAAACTGCATCAAATGTTTATATCTTGATTTAACAAACGTAACAATAAGAGAAATACTTTCAAAATTTTAATTTGATCATTAAATTTTTATGAATATTAATTAGTCTCCCGAGCCAAATGATAGTTGCTGACACAAGTGAGATCGATCGACTGACCGATTATTTAATCAATAGCTCCCTATATGTAACTATTTTAGTAAAATGTTGACGTCACTGCTGGTCTCCCGAGCCAAATGATAGGTGCTGACACAAGTGAGATCGATCGACTGACCGATTATTTGATCAATAGCTCCCTATATGTAACTATTTTAGTAAAATGTTGACGTCACTGCTGGCCTGTATAGAGTTGCAGACAAGTTCAATATAATGATAATAAATGGGTGTTTATTCTGATGTGTCTTGAGTTCCGTTGTCTGCATGCTCCGTAGTCTTTCTTGAATAGGGGTGGTGGGTAGCCTAGTGGTTTAAGCGTCGGCTTGTCACACCAAAGATGCTGGTTCGATTCTCCATATGGGTACAATGTGTGCAGCCCATTTCTGGTGTCCCCTGCCGTGATATTGCTGAATATTGCTAAAAGCAGCTTAAAACTAAACTCACTCACTTACTTTCTTGAATATGTTACTTTTGGTGTGACTACTCTATTTTTGGACTATAAGGTATCCTGATGTTCTCTTAGTCTTCATTTCTTCCCAACCCGGGGTGAACCCCAGAGTTGTTTTTTTTATTCTTTTTAGCTATGACTCCAACAATCCTTTTGTTTTTCTTTGTCTATTTACGGTATTGTACAGATTATCTCCCTTTACAAATGGTTTTTGATACGTCTTGTTCGAACTTATGTATGTTTTCTTCTGCCAGTGCCTAGTAAGTATTTCCCGAGTGACGGTAAGGCCCCACCCCTACGGCGCCCCGCCCTGCCGCGAGAGCAGCCATGGACACCCCCCAAGTCCCCCTTCAACCTGGTGCAGGAGAGTCTGTTTCATGATCCATGGAAACTGCTTGTGGCCACCATCTTCCTGAACAAAACCAATGGTGAGTCAGTCTCAGATTTATTCTGTGGAGATGTGTAGATATTTGTTAAAAAATATTTATCACTTAGAGGGGCAGTGTGGTAGCCTAGTGGTTAAAGTGTTCGCTCATCACGCCTAAGACCCGGGTTTGATTCCTCACAATGGGTACAATGTGTGAAGCCCGATTTCTAGTGTGCCCCCCCATGCTATTGCTAGAATATTGCTAAAAGCAGTATAAAACTAAGCTCACTCACTCACTCATCATTTAGATGTCCATCATGTTTAAGATTCTGTAATCAGTTGTGTTATGTCCCTTAGCTGTTCAGTTCTTGAATGGCGTGTTCTAATGCAACTTTCATTGTAAATGAAACATTTAGTTGACCAAATATTGTTAAACCTGTGAAGATCAGGGTCAGATTTGGTCTTCATCAAACCATGCTTGTCATAAGAGGCGACTAATCGGATCGGGTAGTCAGCAGTGTTTGCCCTTAACCCTGATTAGCTGCAGGCCCTAAGGACCCAGAACCATAAAAAGTTGTGGGTCCTGATCAGAATGTGTAGACCCCATATTTTAATATGCAAATAATACTGTTAGTTTGGGGGATCAAAAAGCTGTTGGCCATAAGGATCTGCAGAAAACAAAAGCTGTTGGTCCGAGTGGTTTTCAGTCGGCTTCAGACCTAAGGACCAACGTTTATTTCGAACGCTGGTAGTCAGGCTCGCTGACCAGGTTGATGTCATCCTATTCGAGTGCATAGATCGATGCTCATGCTGTTGATCACTGGATTGTCCGGTCCAGACTTGATTATTTACACACTGATGCTATATAGCTTGAATATAGTTGAGTGCGGCGTTAAGCAACAAACAACTATTATAATGTTTACTAGAGTATTGTCCATACAATTTTCTGAATGCAGTCTAATCTGTCAATTCAGATTCAGTGTAGAAGTTATCTTGTACGTTTGTGACATGAATTCAATGTTGTCCACCTCAGGTAAAAACGCCATCCCATTATTATGGAAATTCTTCAACAAGTGGCCGACAGCTGACGCAGCACGGAAAGCCGACCCTGACGTCATCGCCCGTCTCATGCAACCACTGGGACTTCATGAGAAGAGGGCTGGGACAATCATCAAGTTCTCAGGTCTGTGGGTCCCTCTGGGAGCAGAAACATTGTGGGCAGTCGCACAAAGAACATATATACTGAGGGAAAAAAATGAGGGATCACATGACAGCACAAGTGTTCCTTTATTTGTTTCCAGGTTTCTTCACAAGCTATGCGATACAACACTTGTGAAGAAACCTTGAAAAAAATAAAGGAACACTTGTGCTTTCATGTGATCCCTTACTTTTTCCCCTCAGTATATACTCTGTCAAAGTGTTCAAAATAATTCTTAAACCCTGCAAGACAGTTGGGCAGGTGACCCTTTGATGTTGCCTGCCCATCTTCAAAGTTACCTTCCCTCATTTAGATATTATATACCTCTCCTTGTTTTGAATTCCTTTATTCCTAGGTTTTAGTAAGAAATGTCTTTTCCATTTGTTAATAAACTAAAATCTTTGATTGCATTTGAGACATTGTTGCTTGGTGTTTATGGCACCATTTGTGGAGAATTCCTGTGATGATTGTAACAGGTGCTATGATTGGTCCATGCTGACCAGATTGACCAATGAAGTGTAGTTTGCAAATGTTAGAGTTACTTCCCTTTATCCACCAATAATAATGGATTCAGTTCAGTGTGATAATAATTTTGAAACATAAGAGGCAACTCCTGTCTTGATGCAGTGGAAATAATACAATCAATTAGTTGAGAATGTATGATTAGTTATTTTATAACTAAATACATTAGTAGTCTTAAATTAATCTGAATGACAGTCAGTTAGGTGGAGGAAACTTTCTTTCAGATCAACAGAAAATTTACCATCCATAGGCAGGCATTGTTTCTGGATCATGTTGTCATACCTGCATTACTCCAGGCCTTCCTCCCACATAAAGCAGACATGATGAGATATAATGGAAATACTGCTGAAAGTGGAGTTTACTCAACCCACTCAATCACTCTGTAATACAAGTTGATTATTTGATAATACAAGTTGATTATTCGAATTATAAGCAATTTGAAATTCTGATAATTTGATAAATGCCACTTTGAACAATATTTGAATTGAAATTGTATAGTTAAGATAATCTTTATATTATGTATGGTATGTAATTTTATGTGAAATCGTATTGGGTATTTATTGACTGTTTATGTATTGCTTTCAGATGAGTACCTGACAGTTAACTGGTCCTACCCGATAGAACTACATGGAATTGGGAAGTATGGCAATGACAGTTACAGGATATTCTGTGTCAATGAATGGAGACAGGTGAGTTGTTGGTGATGTCACTGAACGTTCAGGGCCCATGGCTCCGGTAGTGGTGTCAGCAAGTCAGAGGAGGAAGATCAGTTTTGTTGGTTAAATGTTGACTTGTCATCACTTGAGTAATTGATGAAGTATTGCTGGCGTAAAACACTGTGTCAAACTCTACTGCACTCCCCCCAGTCCCTTTTCCTCCTTCCTGTAGACCGCCTCTGTGGTGTAGTGGTTAGAGCATCCGTCCAGAGAGCGGAAGGTCGTGGGTTTGATCCCTGGATGCATCATACCAAAGACGCTCCAAAGACGTCTTCCTGCATCATAAATGGGTACAACAGGACTGGTCGTTTCGAGTCAGTATAATGTGCCTGAGTGGGGTATTCATCGTGATCATGGCATGGTATCTGAATATGGAATATTGCTGAGTCTGTGTCCTAAACTGTGCTCCCCTGCCCCCTTCCTCCCTGTCCCTCTCCCCTCCTGACCCTATCTCAACCTCTACTGTGCTCCCCCAGCCCCCTTCCTTCCTCCTCCCTCCCTGTCTTCCTGCTTCCTGGCCCTATCTCAACCTCCTGTGCTCCCCCTGCTCCCTTTTCCTGTCTCCCCCCTGACCCTATCTCAACCTCTACTGTGCTCCCCCAGCCCCTTCTCCTCCCTGCCCTTCTGCCCCTGCTGCCTGGACCCTATCTCAACCTCTACTGTGCGCCTCCCCAGTCCTCCCCTGTCCCTCTCCTGTCTCCCTGCTTCCTCCCTATCTCAACCTCTACTGTGCTCCCCCAGCACCCCTCCTCCCCTGTCTCTCCTCCTGACCCTCTCAAGCCCTGCTGTGCTCCCCCGCTCCTGTCCCTGTGTCCCTCAGCCTCTGTCTCCTCCTGTGTCTCAACCTCTACTGTGTCTCCTGTTCCTCCCTCCCCTGTGCCCCCTGCTTTCCTTCCTCCTGTGTGTCTCTTCCCTCCTGTCTCCTGCTAACCTCTACTGTCTCCCCCCTGCCCCTCCTCCTGTCCTCCTGTCCCCTCACTGTGTCTCCTCTGCCCCCTGTCTCCTTTCCTCCTCCCTGTGTCTCCTGACCCTGTCTCTACTGTGTCTCCTGTCCCTCCTCCCTGTGTCTCTGTCCTCTGTGCTCCCTTTCTCCCTCCTCTCCTGTCTTCCAGCCTCTGTTCTGCCTCCCTGTCCCTGCTCCCCAGCACTCCTGTCTCCTGTCTCCTGCTTCCTGACCCTATCTCAACCTCTACTGTGTCCCTGACCCTTTCCCCCCACTGTGCCCCCTTTCCTCCTCCCCCTGCCCCTCTCCTGTCTCCCTGACCCTATCTCAACCCTCTACTGTGCCCCCCAGCCTCCCTTTCCCTGTCTCCCCTGCCCCTTTCCTCCTCCTGTCCTCCTCTCCTGTCCCTCTCTCTGCTTCCTGACCCCCTGTCTCAACCTCTACTGTGTCCCCCAGCCCCCTTTTCCTCCTCCTGTCTCCTGTCTCCTGCTGCCTGACCCTATCTCTCACTGCCCCCCCTTCCTCTGTCCCTCTCCCCCTGTCTCCCTGACCCTATCTCAACCCTACTGTGCTCCCCCTCCCCTGGCCCTCTCTGCTGCCTGGGACCCTATCTCAGCCTCTGCTCGGCTCCAGCCCTTTCCTCCTCCTGTCCCCTCCCTGGCCTGACCCTATCTCCTGTCTCCATGCTTCCTGACCCTATTGTCTCAGCCTCTGCTGTGTCCCCAGCCCCTTTCCTCCTCCTGTCCCTTCTCCCTGTCTCCTTCTTCCTGACCCTATCTCAGCCTCTACTGTGCTCCCCTGTCCTTTCCCCCTCCTGTCCCTCTCCTGTCTCCCCCTGCTTCCTGACCCTATCTCAGCCTCTCTGCTCCCCAGCCCTCTTTCCTCTTCCCTGTCCCTCTCCTGCTTCCTGACCCTATCTCAACCTCTACTGTGCTCCCCCAGCCCCCTTTCCTCCTCCCTGTCCCCTCTCCCTGTCTCCCTGCTTCCTGACCCTATCTCAACCTCTACTGTGCTCCCCCAGCACCCTTTCCTCCTCCCTGTCCCCTCTCCTGCTTCCTGACCCTATCTCAGCCTCTGCCTAAGCTCCCCAGCCCCCTTTCCTCCTCCTGTCCCCTCTCCCTGCTTCCTGACCCTATCTCAACCTCTACTGCGCTCCCCCAGTCTCCTTTCCTCCTCCTTGTCCCCTCTCCCATAATCCACTCTTCCAGCTTCCTGACCATTCCTCCTCATCTCCCTGCTTCCTGACCCTTTTTCCCTGTCCCATCTCAAAACTGATGGACATGCAGAATTATGGTATGATATAATATAAAGCTTAAGAAATAATCACCAACGGAAAATTTTGAAAGATGTAACTTGAACAAAACAGAAATACCACAAGAAAAGATATAGGATCAGCATTAACTACCACCCCCCTGTACATGAAGGCTGAAGATTCACTACTTTTAACATTCATTTGTTTGAACATGACGCATCAATGCACTAATCTTGTTTATATGTTTCTAATTGTATTCCCTTGTCTTCAAAACGACTCTTTTTTCAGCTGGTTGTTTTTTCACCAACTGCTCTGTTCCAGGTGAAGCCAAACGACCACAAGCTGAATGACTACCACAAATGGTTGTGGGACAACAGTGCTCAGCTCAGCCTCAACTGACACTACATCATCAAGTGCTACACGACAACCCAACGGAGATGACCCTGTCAACAACAACATGTTTCAGTTTATGAGCCTCTACATGCCTGCAGGAAGGAATGACTGAAGTCAACACACGCGGCCCTGTCGCAAATAAGGACAGATTAAGGCTCCTTGCTGTTAATGTATTCAAGGGACACTCTTTTTTTGACATTAGGGCTGGCTATCAGTATAAATAATAGAGATTGATAATCGTTAACTAAATATCGATAAATATTGGAGAAGAAAGTTTGAGCAAAAATGCCAAATAAATCTCAAGAAATAATACAATGCCGTCCGGTAATTCTGCGCACCTAAGCACATCGATCGCAACATCGCAAATAACGTCTCTTATTATTTGTGGTTTATGTGACTAAACATGCTGGTATGCATCATATTTACCTAGAAATATACGTTTTATTGATGACTATAAGATTCTAACGTTGCATTATGCCATACAGTTGACCTTACCGGTGTTCTGATCACATCGCTTGCTGTCTGGTAATTCTGCACACCAACTGATGCGCATATCATCCAGCTGGAGATCTGAAGTATGGAAGTGTATTAGGGCCAGATTATTTTCAAAAATCACTTCATCAATGTAAGGAAGTGTGTTTCATATTTAATCCAATATGAATAATGAAGAAAAAGGTTTAAAAGAATTTTCATAAAACTGTCAATTTATCTGTCAGTTACTGTTATATTTACTTACCTTTAGTGATTAAAAGCCAGTCCCTTGTAGAAGTGTCCAGATTTCAAGCGTGAATGTGGTAGCAGACGATGTTTACCTTCGATACGGAAGTACACTATTGAAGCTGCACAGAATTAGCGGACGCGCAGTGATTTTACATCACTGGTGAGTGGTGACATGTTTGTGGATGGTGCTAACAAAACAGCGCCTTGAACATAATTTAGAATGAATATAGTCCTAACCTTATGTATTGCGTGAGCATATTGAAACTTCATTCTATGACAAAAGTTTATGCACAATATTATCAAAACAAATTTATGGCACAATGGCACAAATTTCATATAGATAATCATGAATTTTTCTTTCCTATGGACAATATTTCTGATTATCGATCATTTTAGCCAGCTCTAATTGACAAAATAACTCGGATACATTGTGAACTCCAAGACTTTTCTGCTTATTTTTCAACACTGCTTAGAGTTTGAATAATGAGTTGATCGATGTTGACTGAAGGTTTTGATACGGATGTTAATGATTGCTAGGTAATGGATGGATGAATGTTTGTTTATAGTTTTGATACAGATCTCAAAAATAGTTCTTGAATGCAGTTTGAAATGGTCACTCATTCATACGAAAGGATGGAACCAGTGTCATATTTGATATTGAAGATTTGACGCAACACTATATATCTATGCTACATGTTAAATTATTGGTTGCGACGAGAGTACTTGACATGCGGTCCCTTTTTGAACCCCCATGAGCGTGACTGTTGATCTTGTCCCAAGCATGCTGTGTAAGTGAAGTAGTCAGATGGTGGTCAGATTTGATGACTTGGTTCATCGTATCCTGATGACATTGGTAAATGCTCACAACATTGATCACTGGGTTATTTACACACTGCTGTCATACAGGGTGGTGGTGTGTTAGCCTAGTGGTTAAAGCGTTCACTCATCACTCTGAAGACCCCGGGTTCGATTCCCCACTTTGGTACAATTTGTGAAGCCCATTTCTGGTGTCCCCCGTTTTGATATAGCTGGAATATTGCTAAAAGTGGGGTAAAACCTCTTACTCACTCTTGCTCCTAGAATTTTAATAAGTATCGTATTAAACAACAAATAAATAAACCATTTTTGTTGTAGAGTTTCTTGTGATTATTGAGTCATCCCTAATCATGACAAGATCCTAATATAGGGTTTGAATCCCATAGTTTTCCGGATTATACCTCCAATACAAGTTAAACATGATGAAAAACAATGTTCAACCAGACTCGCTCACTTCCGTCATTGCTTGTGTTGGATGTTTCGAGCTATAGCTGCAATGATCCATTGAATTGTTTGTAAGTCTGCACCTCTGAGACAACATTTTCAACAAGGATTAGTTACATTTCCTCGTGGACTACCATATTTATCGTGACTGCATCCCTGCTGTAAATAAATGTTTGGGACATTGAAGATATAAATATATTTCAAACTGGCAGAAAGGCTGTAACGTGGAAATGTGTATAGATGCCAAAGTACATGTAAAGAATGAACATGATTTGGTATTGAAATGAATTGTAAAGTACTTTTGTGATAGAGACTAGTTAAAATATTACAAGTTGTCATTATTAATATGCTTTGGGTCACTAGTCATTCCTACTGAGTGATGAGCGATCTTGAAGAAGCCATGTCTATATATTTGTGCAATAATCTTTAACAGGATGTGAACCCCACTTGACCTTACATGAATCCGATTGCGTATTGTGACCTGTCGAGAGTAGCCTAGTGTTTGGAGCATTCGCTTGTCACTCCAAAGACCCGGGTTTGAATAACAGTTGAATAAGGACAGTTCCACAATCTGTGGGGCAAATGTTAGTCCAGTGAGTGAGTTGGGTTTTACGCCACTTTTAGCAATATTCCAGCAATATCACGGCGGGGGACACCAGAAATGGGCTTCACACATTGTACCCATGTGGTGAATCGAACCCGGGTCTTCGGCGTGATCAGCGAACGCTTTAACACTAGACTACCCCAACAGGAGAGGAGTCATGAGATGCATTAAGTTAACATCCAGAATATTTGCATCCAAGATCAAGGCATCACCCATACCAGTACACTACACTTCTCAATGAGCCTATATGCTGAAGCTGCTTTACTTTAGCCAGCAAATCATGGCCTGCTTCAAACACGACAAAACTAGGAGTTTTTCTTGACCATTGAATACTCAGAAATTAGAAAGCAAAGATGGCATGCTTAACAGATTTTGTTCCACTTGAAATCAATTCATAAAGTTGTATTTGGAAATGGTATGAGCTGTGACATGGTAGCTCTTATTTAGACATTAGAACATGTTTTGGTAATGTGGATTAAGAGTGGTCAGCGCATCATGACTCGGGTAATCGGGAAAAGTTGATCCTCTGAGTTTTGGTCAAATTATTGTCCATATTTTATTGACTGTCTCCTTTAGTTATCTGAAACAAGAAACACATTACCATTGCCATACATATCCACAGTTAGGGCTGCTATTGACATAGATCATCGGGATCGATAATCGTTAACTACCGGTAAATATTGATCGGACCTCAATAAATATCGGAGAAGCAACTTTGAGCAAAACTGCTCCAAAAAAAGTCAGATAGAAATGATTATATTTCACACCAGTGTTGAGTGATGACGTGTTTATGCATGGGTTACCAACAAACCAATCCTGAACATTATTTAGAAGAAGCAATGAAGTGAAACCTAACTTTGTGTATTGTGTAAGTAAACTTTATTCTATCACAAAAGTGTATGAACGATATTATGGATAACACTGTATTCATATTGAAAATTATTAATAATTTTTTCTGTCGACGATATTTCCGATTATCAGTCTTTTTAGCCAGCCCTATCCTCAGTTATGTGAAGAGGTAATGGAGGAACGTAGCATATACAAAACCCCCGAAGCACTGACAGCGAGTCCCAATTGAAATTAAATTCCAGAAATGGTTTAACATTTCCTTGTAATGTAAGTTTAAGTTTTTGTACAAAGAATCTAAAGGTGATGGTTCATGATCATTACTTGTGAGACGTTTTGTCACGGTAGACTAGAATGATTGATGTTTGTGATAGATTACAACGTATCAGTATTATGTGTCCTTGTCATGTATTGAAAGAAAATGTTTTTATTAAAGTTCCATTTTAAGAGTGCTATTGTGGTTGCAATCATGGCATGTTGAATGCGATATTGTATCATCTTATGATTTGAAAATAACCGATTTTAGATGGTATTTATGGCTGGCATAAAGAAAGATAGTTTCTCTTCAAGAATGTTCTGTATAGTATTGTTATTATTGATGTGATATGATTAATTACAATGTGATACTGCATTGTATTATTAAAATTGGTCACAACTTAATCTAGTCCTCAAGTTAACTCCCTTGGGTTAATGCTAATGGAATGTGATTGTCTTGAAGGGATGTGAGGGACTGGTTAGGAATGGCCAGTTCTAAGGGTTCTCTAGCCATCCAACATCCCACTTCATTTGTCTTGGTATCTTGAGTTCTTGAGCTATATCAGTAAACACAACTGGTTTGTTTGGCATTTTCACATATATGACAATGCTTGTTCATAAGCTTAGGGACTTGTGAAGATCTGGGTTAGAATTGGTCTTCAGCAGCCATGCTTTTCGTGAAAGGTGACTAACGGGATTGGGTGGTCAAGCTAGCTGACTTGGTTGATACTAGTGGTGTGACGATTTATCGATACATTGGCCGCCGATACAGTGAATCGATACAAAGGTTTTCATTGTCATATATCCTGATAAGATACTTCAAATGGGCCACGATGCAACGATGTTTAACTTTGAATATTGCCGAATCACAATATCTGTCAAGAAAAAAGACTTACATTTGTTTCATGATTAAAATATATGCTTACATATTTTCAGTTCTCGGAAATTCTTGCGTCAAGAGGTGTCAGACATAGAGCTCACATGTTATTAACATTCACAAAGTCTGTGTATAAATTTAATTATCTCGTTTCCGAATGAGCATTGAAAAAAGGCTGGCGGAATTTGATGAAATACTTTAAAATGGTTTTGTTTTGATCTTAAGGTGTTTTATAGTTGGTGTTAGAATTAAAGATTTTAGTATCGTGATACGTATCATATCGCCACCCTTATATCAAGATTCGTATCTTATCGCAGCTTCAGTGCACAATACCTTGGCAATATATCGTCGTGACTAAAATTTTAGTATTGTGATGTATCGTATCGCAGGTTGTATGCCAATACCAGGACTAGTTGACATGTCATCATGTCCCAATTCCGTAGATCGATGCTCATGATGTTTATCACTGGATTGATGTTAATGACTCGATTATTTACAGACTGCCATATAGCTGGAATTTTGCTGAGAGCTGTGTTCTATAAACAAACAGATATAATCTTAGGGCTAAATTTTGTATTTATATGTTACTCTTTACAATGCCATTACCATCAGTTGTTTCAAAAGGGCGTCGGCTCCTTCTGTTCTCCAGTAGCTCCACTTCTCCAGACTTAGTCTGATTTGTTGTATTCTTTAACTCACTTTAAATATGTTATATTCTGGTTAAACTTATATGTGTGTAAGTTGAAGGATGCTAAAATGAAGTTCAATAATTGAGCACCTGATTGTGTCACATTTTCTTTTCAAAGTTCTTTTGAGTAGTTTGAATAATTTTCTAATGCATTTAATCAGAGACCATATATCGGTATATGGTCTCTGCTTATGGGCAGAAGAAAGTATCCAGAGTATTTGGAAAAACTTGACTTCAATTGAATGTTTGTCTGTTTACCTTTCACTCTTTTCTGCAGTAATATTCTGTGTCTTGGTAATTTGTGTAGAGATGTATTGTTTAAATGAACAAATGTAAGAAATGAATGTGCAACCTCATGACCCTGACCTGTATATTTGCGGGTAAATTAATTGTTGAAATTGTAAAATATGTTATGTCTCAGATACCCATTAACATTTTTGTATTATGCAAAATATTTTATGTTTGAAAAATAAGACCATGAAGAATTATTCTTTAAATGCTGGCAATTCACCAGTACAGATCAATGTTTGGATGGATACTAAGTTACGGTATTTTCAATTGAAAGTGAAACATGATCAAATCAGCTGAGAGGTGTAGTTTCTTTTGTTCTTCAGTACATTATATGTTTAGTTCATGGCTAGTTCTGTTGTCATATCTAAAGATGGGATGTGCTGAGTGTATCTTGTAATATAGTTTAATCTATTTATTGTCACACTAACATTCAGTTGTGGACACATCTTACAATTTACCTGTTGTGTCTGTTACACTGGAAGGAAAGCAATTCAGTTGTATATATAGTTAGTATGGCCTACAGCCTATTTGATTCAAGCTGTTCAAGCACACTTTGTCTGCCAGCTTAGTGCTCAAACTCACTTTGACTGCCAGCTTAGTGTTCAAGCACACTTTGTCTGCCAGCTTAGTGTTCAAGCACACTATGTCTGCCAGCTTAGTGTTCAAGCACACCTTGTCTGCCAGCTTAGTGTTCAAGCACACCTTGTCTGCCAGCTTAGTGTTCAAGCACACTTTGTCTGCCAGCTTAGTGTTCAAGCACACTGTCTGCCAGTTTAGTGTTCAAGCACACCTTGTCTGCCAGCTTAGTGTTCAAGCACACTGTCTGCCAGCTTAGTGTTCAAGCACACTGTCTGCCAGCTTAGTGTTCAAGCACACTGTCTGCCAGCTTAGTGTTCAAGCACACTTTGTCTGCCAACTTAGTGTTCAAACTCACCTTGCCTGCCAGCTTAGTGTTCAAGCACACTTTGTCTGCCAGCTTAGTGTTCAAGCACACTTTGTCTGCCAACTTAGTGTTCAAGCACACTTTGTCTGCCAGCTTAGTGCTCAAACTCACTTTGACTGCCAGTTTAGTGTTCAAGCACACTTTGTCTGCCAGCTTAGTGTTCAAGCACACTATGTCTGCCAACTTAGTGCTCAAAGCACACTTTGTCTGCCAGCTTAGTGTTCAAGCACACTTTGTCTGCCAACTTAGTGTTCAAACTCACTTTGTCTGCCAGCTTAGTGTTCAAGCACACTATGTCTGCCAACTTAGTGCTCAAAGCACACTTTGTCTGGCAACTTGGTGTTCAGACTCAGGTTGTCTTACAGCTTCTAAGCATGGCTTAGCACTGAAATATGAGCTATAATTGTTTTTATCATTGTCCTCTTGCAGTTCAGTACACATCCTTCCAGCGCTTCTCAGGCACATATGCCCCCATTTTGTATAGGGTCAAAACCTGTTCTGTCTTCCACAACAGCAACTCTTTCTTGCTCCTCATTATGATTCGGACCACATTTTTTTCTCTTCAAATTGGGGCCCAATGGGGGCAGCCTAGTGGTTAAAGCATTCGCTTATCATGCTGAAGACCAGGTTTGATTCCGAAAATGTTCAATTTGTGATGCCTGAACTTGGTATCTCCCAACTCATATTGCTAAAACCAGCATACAAACTAAACTCACTCACTTTTCACATTTAGAACAAGTTGGCCCTATTGATCTGGGTCTTGGTGCCCAAAGTGATGTCAGTGCACCGACCATCATAGGCCTGTGATACAGATGGGAGTAATGATGGTCGTCATGCTGAGGTTGTTTTGTGCCAGTGGTCACAGATCTGGAGAGTATGATGGATGGCACTGAAGCTGGTGTCCACATTCCTGTACAACAACCAGTGCAATATTTCCGCTATAAACTGGAGTATTGTTTTGATGTATACACATAGTCTTTTATGGATAGGTGGCCAAATAGGTGTCATTCATTGCTGTTCTTGGGGCGGTGGTTTAGCCTTGGGTTAAACCGTTGGCTTGTCACGCCGAAGACCTGGGTTCGATTCCCCATGTGGGTACAGTGTGTGAAACCCATTTCTGGTGTCCCCTGCCATTATATTGCTGTCACTTTGCTAAAAGTGGCATAAAACCATACTCACTCACTCACTGTTGTTCCCATACAGCCACTGTGCTGCAGCATGCCAAATCGTGACAGATGGCTCCACAGACACAGGTCAATACTTATGTATGCCATATGTGCAAAATGGCCAATAATGCCTGGGTCAAAGTTGGATATCCACTCATAATGCCCACATGTTCATTGACTGGTTAATAAATATACCACTTCCAGGCGGTTAGCTTTATGGCATAGTCACTCATTGCTTAATTATTTTAAATAAATTTAATATCTCGGTTCCATTATTGAAGCATGTTATTAATGAAACTGTCTGATGACATTCAAGTTGGAGGGAATGTACAAATGACAAAGTGAAAGTAGGGCGTGAAATTTCTCAACTTTGTTGGGTGGGGGAGGGAGATAGAGAGGGGTAGAGGAGGGAGGTAGTTGGTACTGGCCATGAAAATCATTTATATGTATATCATATTATTGTGAGTTTGAACAATTTTTAAGGAATGGTAATGCATACCCATCCATGTTTTAACTTTTATTAAATGATTTCTCTCTGGACCTGATTACGAATGATTAGGTTTTCCGTCTTGTTCCCTGCCTCTTTATGAATTATCGTGATGATGTTGTGGTGTGCCTGTTTTGTACAGTGTCTTGTTATTGCATATCGACATTGTTGCCACACCAGATTATGCTGAATAACATGCTTTTAGAGAGTCATGTAAATAAGCATTTATTGAAATCTATGATTAAATATGTACAATTTTCATGATTTCATGTTTTTGTTTGTTTAACCATATGAACTCGACAAAATAAGTTAGGGATATTGGTATTTTTATGATTGATATTTTATCAGTGTGTCAGTGAATAAATACATCATTATTCATAATTTCAAAACTTACATATATCCCTAACTATTTTTGTCCAGTATATTTATATCTAAAATCACTGAGATGAAGTGATTAAATTGTACTTAATTAGGGCTCCTTGCCTCTAGGCAGGAGACCTATTGTAATCGTTCGGATTATTATTATTATTATTTATTATTCCGCCGATTTTTGTACCAAACATAACTCCTAAACCAATGCTCCGAATCCCTTACAAAAAATCACACAGATGCGCACCGAGGTGTAGATATTCCCCTTAAAAATCTCTAGGCTGTTGCCCAATAGCAAAGGGGTGATAATTCAAAATTAATTCCAAAATTTCAACGTTTGACAGCAAATTTCTCAAGAACTAATTGTTCCAACACTTCCAAATTTCTTGTACAGATGCACAATCGAATTCCCAACAATTTTGCCTGGACGGGTCAAGTCGCTAAAAGTCGCTTATTTAAGTTTTCAGTTTTTGGCCATGTTTTTCAGCACTTTTCTGAGTAGTTTGCTCCCAAAATGTGCCAGCATGGTAGATGATGTCCTGGTGATTCCAGAACACTAATTGTTTTGAACGTAGATCCAAGAACAACTGAGATACAGCCTTTTAAAGAAGGAACTACTTCTTCTCCGGAACTTCTTAAAATGTACGTGACCCGGCTGTCAAAACGTGTTCTGGCTCCGTTTTGGACGATGATATCTAGCCCTCAGATACAATAGATAGATAGAAAGTAAAGCCAAGGAGATCTCATGGTTGCCTGCAACTATATTTTTGTTTGTTTTATACTGCACTCATCAGTATCCCATCTTTGACAGGATCCTGAAAGTATAGTCTATAACATACTACTGAGTGATTGATATGAACATTCATCTGGAATTGGAACCCACAATGTGATGGCTGAGTGGGTTAGATTGCTGACTTTGTGTCCTGGCGATTTGGGTGCCTAACTCTGAGAGTGGGGGTTCGAATTCTGGACGGGACTCAACCCCAAAAGTACTAAAATCTGTATGTTACT